TAAAGAAAAAGGTTTTCTCCAGTTTGGCCCTAGCTCTCTTTTCAGGTGGTAACATTTAATCTGGCCTTGTTCTCACACATAACTTAAGCAGGGAAAAAGGGGAAACAGATGGGAAACAGGTGGCAGGCACAACTTTTTCTATCAGTGGGCAATTCTCTGCAGGCAGAGACTACAAAGGAAGGGCATACCTTTCTGGTTTAAGTCCTTGCTCGGCAGATAGTAATCCCAAACCTGGTCCTGCTGCTCAGGGGAAATGTCACAACTGAAACCTTGGTGACATTTTGAAGCCACAAGAGACAGAAGAATTTGGGCTGGTTAAAAATAGCCACAAACTGTGTTAAGGGTCAATTGAAACTACTGGTGCTTGCAGGAAATAGGGAACTATGAATGTAGAGAAGGGAACGTTGGTGGGAGTAAATAGTGGGGTTCTCTATGCATTCTAGGGAGCACACCACTTCTAACTTACTTCACCCACTCCATTGCCTTTGTGATTTCTTTTATTTTGGTATCCTCACTGCCCAGTTTTTCCAAGACCCTGTAAGACTGTCTCCTTTTCCCCCACCTAAGCTCTCAGATCCTTCTCTGCACCCCCAATTCAGAACAGTAACAGCAATTGTCACAACTCCTTCTTTCCTTCCTTCCTCCTTCCTTCCTTCCTTCCTTCCTTCCTTCCTTCCTTCCTTCCTTCCTTCCTTCCTTCCTTCCTTCCTTCCTTCCTTCCAACAATCCAGTGAAGTTCCTAGATGTAACTATCTTGAGCAGTGTTTCTCAACCTCAGCAAATTTAAGATGTATGGACCTCACCTTCCAAACATTAAAGTTGCTGAGGTTGAGAAACACTGATCTGGAGTGTTTCTGTGATGTCATGGCAACTTCTGTCATTGTTTGGCTGTTCCCCCCCCCCCCCAGCTGTGAGAGTGCTGGGTATGTATCCAATCTTGAACATGCACAGTGTATGCACAGGTTAAGGAAAGAATGTAGAAAAGACAGTCACCTAGAAGCAGGTGCCTCAACACCGGAATTGGGTGCAAAGTAATGGGCTGCCTGGGGGAGAAAAAAATATGCTTTTACGTCCAGATAAGGAACAACCCATTTTGTCGTGCTTGATCCTACAGCACTTACACTGCTCTCAGTTAAGAGGGTTATTTGGGAGAGCTTTAAACAAATACATATGCATTGCTGAGCTAATGCCCTATAACAAAGATGCTTCATCAGCCATCTCAGACCTTATTTTCTTCACCTTGAATTGCTGGGATGGGGTGACATGTACATCCTGCACATCTGTTCATGAGCATGCACAGGCTGCAGATGTCAACTCCTCTTCCACTCTTCTCACTGTTTATCTGGATAGTAAACATTTGCCACTAAATACGTTTGAATTGCAAAATAGCTCTCTTCAATCAGAGGCCTTCCACATATGTTAAACTGCAACACCCCTGATTGATTTGCTGCCAGCCCCTCAGCAGGGTCTTAGGTAGGAATCATGGAAATTGTAATTTAATAGACGTGCAGAGGCCTAGATTGAAGAAAGCCAATTTGTAGATTAAGGGCAGTCAGGGAGGTGGTGCTCTTTGTTAAATATTCAGAGGGTGTGTGGTGTATTGAATTTTGTCTCATGCATTTGGGCTCCTTTGAGGTTGCTAAATCGTTGATTTAATTTTTTTACAATGTTCTGTCCAGTTCCCAAGAAGAGAACTGAATATAAGCCATCCATCCCCAGGATTTCTCTTTGAACACATTTCTACAACATACTAAATTGATAGGTTTGCTAGGGTTAGGCTAAACAAGCAGGGTGGGTTTGTTTGATTAAAAAAAGAATCAACTTTACTATGATGTGCAAACTCAAACAATTGTGGTTTAGTTATGATTTAACATAACATGATTTAGTACGGTGTCAATAACCAGTTACTGGGGCTTTTTGACTAACAAACATCCAGTTTTAACCTCTTCAGGAGCTGCCTACAATCTGATTTCTCCAACTGCCCTGGATAAAGCATAGTTCCTGTTTTGCCTTGTGAGGATATTCAGCTTGTCTTCCACATGGCTTTCAATGCACATGCGTAGATATTAAATGTTAATGCGCTGTGCTAGTTTCCTTTCTTGTCCCTCGGTCTCAGTCTAGGAGCCAGTCTTCCCCATCCTGACATTCTCCAGATGTGCTGGATTGTAGCTCCTATCAACCCAGCCATTGGCCACGCTGGTTGGAAGTAGTGTGCTTTGTAATCCAAGACAGCAGTAGGATGGCAGGTTTGAGGAAACTTGCCATAACCACTTATCAAGAGAGCAAATGTGGCTGAGTCATTGCTGTGCTGTAAGTAATTAGATCTGGATTCGATTAATTTTTTAAAAAAAGACTCAGCAATTGTTGCTCTATAACTGTTAGCTACAGTTGACTAACACTCTTTCCAGGACATGAGTAAATAAATGTCTTCTGTGTCTGATGGAGGAGACTTTCTAGTAATATGTAATATAAGTGGTGGTGGCAAATATGGGGCGCTCTTTAATGTGAGAAAGGGAGTGATATGCCTACCCTTTTTGTCCCTGTGGGATGTCAGAAGAATTTCTCTGCATAAGTGTCTATGGAGATTCTCAGTCATCCAGGTCATGGTTGTCCCAAAGGTGCTTTTTCAAAAAGCAACAGGACTTTGTTTTTCCTTGAAGACATTTCGCTTCTCTTTAAAGAAGCTTCTTTTTATCCATCCACTACCATTCACCGCCAGAACTGAAGAAGCTTCTTGAATGAGAAGCAAAACATCTTCAAAGAAAAACAAAGACCAGTTGCCTTTTGAAAAAGCATCTTTGGGATTCTCTGCATAAGCTTTCTGTGTCCTGCTAGCCCTGTCCTGTCACAGAAATAAGGATGTTATTCTTTGGCTGCATTCCCATGTGTTTCCAACCCCAAATAATATCTTCCCCTACTCTGCTTTAGCAGTTCCAGAAATTGGCTTTTCTCATTTGCAGAAAGGGAAGTGCCAGTGGTTCTGAAGTTACATTTATAATTTGATGCATGCCTCTAGTTTTATGCTTAGAAGACAAATGTACTCTGAATGTGCTTGGAATCATATATTTACTTCATATTTGCTGAAGCTAGACTGGGTACCAGAAAAATATTCTGGGCCTGAAGTTGTGTAATGCTGAGTTGAATGAAAACGCTGCCTTTAGTTAACCCAATTCCTATTGACGATTACATTTTCTGCTGAGCCTTCCTTTTTTCCCCCTTTTCCATAAAAATCTGTATTCATGTGTGTGTGGAGGCTACTGAAACTGAGCTGGAAACATCTGAAAGTCCCAGTAGATGGTGGCAAAAAGAATTTAAAGCATGTGTTTATTGCATCTAGTTCGTTATCTGAACATTTGCCTCCTGGATATGGTAGTTCTAATGCGTGCCTGCACACCTAAACACACACTAATTGTTATTTGGCCATAAAAACTGCGTCTGCTGTTACAGCATTCTCTTGGTTGAAAGAGATCAGCCCATTGTTTGAATCTCAAGGCAAAATATGCTGCATTTAAACACACAAACACAAGTGTTTATTTAAGGGGAAAGAAGCCATAAGGGCATAGTGTCAATAAGAGAAAGGAGAGGCTGGAGAACATGTGGTAACAAGCATGGATTGTATTAGGTTCTGCCTTGCAAAGAGCACAGGTGGCTAGAAGGAACTGACATTTTATTGGAAAGAATGCCAATCCTTAGAGTTGAATAACAAGTGTTGGATTTATGTATGCATATACTCACCTATGGGGGTGTATTTAAACCATACATTTACAATTCTTGAAATTGAAATATCATTTCTGCCATTAAGGAGGTGACTTTGGTAACAGTTTTACATTGGTTTTGAATGAAGGATGAGATTACATGCATGAATATGTGTGTGTGCTTATAAAATAAAATATTCGTCTTAATCCTGTTGAACTTACTAGTTATGTTTGCACAAGACTTTAAGTTAATAATCTAATGGCATTTATAAGACCTAATAAACTTGCTTCATTTTCATCTTGGTTGGGGTGTTTTGTTTACTTGTCAATTGTACATAGCTGCTCACTTTGCATATAACAACAACAACAACAACAACAACAACAATAATAATAATAATAATAATAATAATAATAATAATAATAATAAAGTTGGAAGGGACCTTGGAGGTCATCTAGTCCAACCCCCTGCTCAGGCAGGAAACCCTATACCATTTCAGACAAATGGCTGTCCAGTCTCTTCTTAAAAACTTCCAGTGTTGGAGCATTCACCACTTCTGCAGGCAGGTTGTTCCACTGGTTAATTGTTCTAACTGTCAGGAAGTTTCTCCTTAGTTCTAGGTTTCTTCTCTCCTTGATTAGTTTCCATCTGTTGTTTCTTGTCCTGCCTTCAGGCGCCATGGAAAATAGCCTGACTCCCTCTTCTTTGTGGCAGCCCCTGAAATATTGGAATACTGCTATCATGCCCCCCTTGTCCTTCTCTTCATTAAACTAGACATACCCAATTCCAGAAGCCTTTCCTTATATGCTTTGGCCTCCAGTTCCCTAATCATCTTTGTTGCTCTTCTCTGTATTCTTTCTAGAGTCCTCTGGGCAATGTACAACAAGAACAGGTTGTTGTTGTTTTGTTCCGTTTTGTTTAGTGGCTTAGCATGTTGAGTGAATCCAACCCATTCATTTACCTTATCATGGCCAGGAAAGGATGGCACATGACAATACATTTAAAAAAGAGCAAGGCTTCAGCCGCATGGTTGTGGCCACCATCTTGACTTCTGAGCCTTTGATTACTTAGTTGTAATCACCATCTTGACTTTTTTGCCCTGTCTCTGTCAACACCCATGAACAAGGAAGAGGCAGGGAGAAAGCAGCAGCCAGGAAAGGGGAAGGGAGGGAGGCTTTATCCCAAAGCTGTTTAATCTTTTGGTTGGCCACTGAAGTGAAGTTAAGGAACATGACTAGACTGGTTTCCATCTTTGTTCTCCACGCAATCAAAAAACAAGTTTTTTCTCTCTATTATTTTATTGACAGGGGTTCCAGGTGCTGGAGCAGGAGTTCCAGGAGTAGGGTATTACCCAGGTAAGAATTAGCACCATCCCAACTAAGTATTAAGGATGCCACGGTTGTGCAACATTGATGATGCATTGTGTGTGCCTGCTCACGATACCAATTTCAATTAAACTCAAACCTTAAGCTAGAAAAGAAGCAGCCAGGGAGAAGACCATTATTTATTCATTTGCTTATTTATTCTGCATAATAACATTATTTGAGGGAGGTGAGAATGGAATATTCAGAGTTTTTTCTTCCCTATGAATGGGGGAAATGTTAATTTGCATGAGTGCCTTATACATATGACATGATTAATGCAACTATTTTTCTTAGTTTCCTACTATAAGAAAACAGGATGGAAACTTTAGAATAGTATATTTCTACACGTTGCAGCAGATGCCAAAACAAATTATAATATCTCAGGCATTTTCCAATATTATAAAAGACTCTTTTTTCCCCACTGAGCACTCAATACATCACGTAGCTCAGTGTGGGGACTGGTGCTTTCAGAGGGCACGGTCTATCCTCTTGATCAATGTTTCTCAGCCTTGGCAGCTTTCTGATGTGTGGACTTCAGCTCCCAGAGTTCTTGAGCCAACATCACTGGCTAGGGAATTCTGGGAGTTGAAATCCACACATCTGAAAGCTGCCAAGGTTGAGAAACACTGAAAATTGTGGCATTCTGCAATGTTTCAGGGATGCCTTTTTCCATATCCACCTTAGAATATGGGGGTTATTTCATAGATAGATTGAAATCTTCACTTAGCACCAAATATGCGTTTATAAAATAGGTTGATCATTCTTCTTTTTTGCCCTTCATAACAACGTTGGTATTTCACATGGGGTGGGGGTGTGGAATCTGTCATGATCTTCTATCCAGACAGATTCTGTCTTCTTATTTCTTCGCTTGGGAGAGTTTAAAAAGATTATTGGGGAACATTAAAACAATGTAAATTACTGTGTGAGCTTATCTTGTTTTCACTGGCAATTTGTTTGCACTTATCGTTTTAACAAAAAAACATCTGCAAGTTTATTTCCTTCCTTGCCTTAGTTATTACCCAATTGTGCTATTTCTTTTCTTCACAAAATTAGGGATGTTATTAGTGGCTAAATGAATCTATGTATGCCCATTTCTTTAAAGAAGCATTCTTCAGAGTGCTTTGTCAAACTCCCCTAAGTGGCAAGTGCACAATATAGATATGAATATACTTGGCTCAGAACTCCTGACCTGGGGGAAAAAACAACTAATATGATATCAAGATTGGGACTAGTGTTTTATATGCTTTATTGAAATGATTAAGAATTGCTAACAATCCTTGCTTTCTGCACTGCCTGAGAATTTGTTGATCTCTGCAGGAGCAGGTGGCATCGGAGGCCTAGGGGGACTCGGCGGGACAGGTAAGTCCCTAATGGAATAGAACAAGATTCTTTACTGGGTTTGCTTATAAAATAATACTGTTTTGAAAAATAATAAATAGAATGGGCCGGAACATGCACTTCGCTGCAGGCAAGTGGCTGCCCTTCCTGGCTGCACTCTACTCCCATGACCGACGGCTCTCCTCACCAGGCCGGAACAGAGCCATGGAGAGATACATGCTTGGCATTACAAGACAAGATAGAAAGGCCTGAAAGAGACCTAAAACAAGTTGGATCAACGGCATCAGCAAGTATTGTGGGCCCAATTGGCAAAAGAAAGCTCAAGACTATATTGGTTGGAAATATGCAGAAGAGGCCTTTGTCAAGTTCTTTGAAGAGTTTCATCTGTCGGAACCATGACAGCCTTCATCTTGCAATGGATAAAAAATGGCTAAAATGATGATGATGATAGTAATAATAATAATAATAATAATAATAATAATAATAATAATAATAATAAAGTTGGAAGGGACCTTGGAGGTCATTTAGTCCAACTCCCTGCTCAGGCAGGAAACCCTATACCATTTCAGACGACGACCTAGAGTGGAACAAATGAGGATCTCTTCTTCCTCCCTCTTAAGGGTAGAATTTGGGGATATCCAGTGAAATATACATATCTAAGAAATGCAAAGGAAACTATATCATATAAAGAAAAAAAATCTCCTGATGGTAAGATCTGTACAATAGTGGAACAATCTACCCATGGAGAAGAGGCTGGAGAGTCACCTCTCACAGATGGTTACATTAATTTTCCTACAAATTGCATGGGTTGACTACTGTAGGTAATCCTTGGGCATCTTCCCAACTCCATAGTTCTATGATTCTATCAATGGACAGATAATGATCAAATTCATAGTCACACCTTGGTGGTGATGCCTAACTGTTGGTCTAGGTGGCATTTCCAAAAAAATGCACAAGTCAGAAGTTGTCTAGTTGGCTTATAAGACGTTTGCTTGGAAATGAGCCAGTTTGGCCTAGTCATTAAGGCACCAGTCTAGAAACCAGGAGACTATGAGTTCTAATCCTGCCATAGGCATGAAAGCCAACAAGGTGACCTTTGGTCAGGCATTCTCTCTCAGCCAAGCCACCTCACAGGGTTGTTGTGGAGAAAATAGGAGGAAGATTCTCTGCCTTGAGTTACTTTTAAAAAAATGCTAGTCAAGGAAATGAATGAATGAATGAATGAATGAATGAATGAATGAATGAATGAAACTGTCATGAAGAGTTTGCACCACTTCTGAATCACTTCCGTACCCCAGTGATGTTCAACCTCAGCTGCGATGCAGCATTCAATTGAAAAGGCCAGAGCTCAGCAAAGCTTAGGGGCCAGGTTCTTTTCTCCATTGGAGGGAGCTCTTGCTTCATCCCTTCTCCTAGCTCTGAGCTTCAGCCATCTAAAAGATCTTGTAAGAGGAATGCTAGCTTTCCTGCTTTGCATCTCACCTCAGTAACCTGAGGAAAAGGAGGAATGAAATTGCCAGATTCTTTTTGTACAGTACTGTAAATACAAGGAAGATGAGAAAATCTAAGGATCTAAGGCAATTCAGGGCAGAGAAGTAGTTTTGGCTCTTCTCCTTGTGAACTTGGCAGTCACAAAGGGGGTTGCAGAGATTTTTTAAGTTGGTTTTTGAAGAAATGGGGAGTGGAAATACAGTATTATGGAAATACTTCCAGGCAAAGTTTCTCAGCCTAATCTATTTTCCAAAGTTGCAGATGGTTCCTGGAATGGACAAACATTTTTTTAAAAAAGGATTTCTATCCATGTGTTGCATGTGAATGCACATGTTTATATGCGGGAGAAGAAAGTTTGTCACTGGGGTAACTGCTGTTATCTGAGCATTCCTTCCACAGGATTGCTGAGATGGCCAGCAGAGATGCTTCTCTCACACAAGGGCTATCCTCATCAGGCTGTGGCTTTCCAGAGTGGTGTGCATCCTGAGGAACCTGCCATAAAGGCCTTGGTCTTCCTAAAGGGACATGAGGGCATTGCCTGTTCAGCTTTATGCAAGCGGAAGACCCACTTGAAATCATACATTCAGTTTTGGTCACCACAATATAAAAAAGATGTTGAGACTCTGGAAAGAGTGCAGAGAAGAGCAACAAAGATGATTAGGGGGCTGGAGGCTAAAACATATGAAGAACGGTGGCAGGAATTGGGTATGTCTAGTCTGGCGAAAAGAAGTACGAGGGGCGACATGATAGCAGCGTTCCAATATCTCAAGGGTTGCCAGAAAGAAGAGGGGATCAACCTATTTTCCAAAGCACCAGAAGGCAGGACAAGAAACAATGGGTGGAAACTAACTAAGGAGAGAACCAACCTAGAAGTGAGGAGAAATTTCCTGACAGTGAGAATAAACCAATGGAATGGCTTGCCTTCAGAAGTTGTGGATACTCAATCACTGGAGGCTTTTAAGAAGAGACTGGAAACCATTTGTCTGAAACAATAAAGGGTCTCCTGCTTGAGCAAAGGGTTGGACTTGAAGACCTCCAAGATCCTTTCCAATTCTGATGATGTTCTAAGATCTATTGCCAAGGGAGCTGCCAGTTGGGAACTGTGTTGAGTGCAGCTGCCCTCTTGAGATTTTGTTGAGAGCATAAGTGACAATATCAGTCTTGTAAAAGGCTTATAGATTAAGTTGATATTCTCCACATTGAAAAAAAAATAATTCCCAGGGAAGGCTCTATTCTTTCTAGCAACCAAAGTAATTGGCCAATTGGAGCCTTGCAGGGCTGTCAGATGGATGGGAATGCAAGTCAGTCCTGCTTACCTAACACTAAACCAGGAACAATGTCTGCTTGCCTATTTATTTTGCATGCACCTAGTCATCAGAATTAGTCCTCGGATTTTTCTCTGCACAACTCTGGTTCATCATAGGGAACTAGGAAGTTTGCAAACCTGAGCTAAGTCCTATTATACAGTACTGTAATCATTCCATTGTTTTATGAATGCAGAAACTGTTGCCTCCCTATTCTCCCTTTACCATGTAGCCAATCGGCTGGGGGGGGGTGGAAACCCTTAAATGACATTCTTCCTTCTAAACTGACATTACAAAATGAACATCTATCTAATTAACCCACAAGAAGTGTCACATTTCTGGATACACAATTTATCTGGAAAAATTGCTTCTTTTTTGATGTTCTTCCATAGGAACTGGCATTGGAGGCGGTCTTGGAGGAGTAGGTGAGTCATTGTCTCAACTAACTAGGCTTCACCTCAAGTCAGAAGATTGTTCAGCCTGCATCAAACCGGGTGGCATCTAGTTCAATTGTAATTGAACTCAAATAGCTAAGCAGAAATCAACAGGGCTGTAGACTAAATCAGGAAGTTGAAACCTATTCTAAAAAAGGCAAAAGCAAATTGATTTCATAGTGTTGAAAAGACACAGATATGAATTCAACAGGAGTCAAACCATTATGAAAGAGTTTTTTATCTATCTTCACCTACCACAATCTGTAAGTGTATTGTGATTACAACTTCCAGAATTTCCAGCTTCTGTAGATTCCAGTAGGGTTCTTCTCCTTCAACAGCTGGAGTCTATCAAAAGAACAATATTACGGGGAATTGATTCATTTTGTGTAAAATTCTACTCATATAACTCAAACTGCATATAATATACTGTATATAGTATATTGTTTATAAGTACATATGCATTATATTGTATTATATTACCTACAGTTCCCATAACCTTTAACTAGATGGAATGGTACATCACAGGACAAAATGTTTTTAACTGAAGTACCTTAAATAACTAACTTAGAAAAAGTGTCCAGGGCCTGGGACCCATGACTGCCATGGAATTGGAATTTGGGCAAATTTTACAAAACATGGCATAAAAATGATAAAACGTTTTATAATACGAAACATCATAAAACATCTTTTGTGCTCAGCTGCCGACATTTGACTAAGCTATACAGTTCAACATGGGCTGTTTTCAAGGCAGATACATCTTTGAATATCTCCCTGAATTTTTAAAAATTTTCAACTACATTAGAAGCTCTGCCATTACTGAAGACATAGTAAGGTGACCAACTTTTTTACAATGAAAAGGAGGACACAAATAAATTGAAGAAAAAAATATTGTAAAAGCTGGCCTGGCCCATGGAAGATCAACCGCCCGCCATGCCCCCGCCCGCAGCCACCCCGCCAGCACCGCTGCCCCACCGTGTAGAGCGGGCCCCACAGCTCCCAAAGCACCAGCCTCCCTGCCAGCACCACCGCCCACCCTGCGCAGCCCCGTGTAGAGAGATCCCCGCAGCTCCTACAGCACGGGGGAAGCCAGCCATTGCTGCCCCTCACACCCCTGCCCGCAGCACCCCCGCCGCCCCTGCCTCTTGCACCCGCATCCATTATTGCCCTAGCAGAGCCGAAGATCAAGAGAAACTTACCGGTCCAGTCTCCTCCAGGTATCTTCGGAACTAACTAGGAGATGGTGTAGTTGGGTGCAAAGTTCCTGCCAATTTGCCTTCGCTGCAGACAACTTGCATGTGCAAAGTTTGCCAGCTGGGTGTTTTGGCGCACTCAGCAGCAATTCCTATTGGCTTTTGAAAGCCAATAGCGGGAGTAGCACAGCTCATGCAAAAGTTGAAAAAAAACCCATCAAAGATGCCGGAACACCGTTCTGAGCGTTCTATGAGAAAAAAAAGCCCTGCAGATTAGTCTTCAAATATCAAAAAGGAGGACATGTAGGAGGACACTTTTCGAGGGAGGACAGACCTTACAAAAGGAGGACTGTCCTCCCTAAAGGAGGACGGTTGGTCACCTTAGACATAGAGGAATCTGGTAAGGAAATATCTTTGAAATGATGTATAATGTATACATATGGTACCCACACTTCAAAATTACCCTTTTGAGGGCTGTATTATCATTACATTTGTGTAGTTTTAATGCAGAGCAGATGAAAAATCCTATACAGGTACTTCTCAGCTTATGAATTGCTTCTCAGTTGCTTAACAACTGTTTAAAATTATAGTGGGCCTGGAACACCCTATAAAGTACTTCTGGCTGTTGTAAAATGTGCCATCATCACCCTTGACAACCCACTCACTTTTACAACCAGCTGCAGCACTGACCTGTGGTCATGTGACAGGCTATTTGCAGCATTTTTTTCTAGTTTCTGGCATTTTATTGCTGAATTCTGGGAAAATTTATGTTACTTCTGAGAAGACCATTGAGGATTTGTCTCTCCCTGTCATGTTGTATTAGTTGTGTGAATCGTTCAGAATAGGGCACAAAGAAGATACTGCATACAGGTAGTCCTCGTCTTACAACAGTTCATTTAGTGACCATTCAAAGCTACAACGACAATAAAAAATGTAACTTGTGCCCATTTTTCACAGTTACAACCTTTTCAACATCCCCATGATTATGTGATCAAATTTCAGACACTTGGCAACTGATTCATATTTATGACCGTTGCTGTGTCCCTGGGTCATATGGTCCCTTCTTGCGAACTTTTGACAAGCAAAGTCAACAGAGTCCCTTAACTGGATTATTAACTTATCCACTGCAATGATTCAAGAAAGGTCGTATAAATGAGGCAAAACTCACTTAACAAATAAGTCACTTAACAACAGAAATTTTGGGCCCAATTGTGGTCATAAATCGAGGACTGCCTGTACTCAAGTCTGTGTTTGTATATTTTGTTAAGACACAGTACAATTATTTTGAGTTTAACGTGATATGAATTTAGCCATTGTGGATTTATTCAGTAAGCTACAGTCAAATAACCCCTAGCTTATATAGCATCTCAACTCAACTGGGGCTTCCCATTTAACAAATGACACACAACTGTTCCCATCAAAAATGAATGGTGCCTTTTTTTACAGGTGGCCTATATCCAGGAGGTGTCTATCCTGCTGGATCTGCAGCTGCAGCCTATAAAGCCGCCGCTAAAGCTGGTGAGTCAAAGTTGCTGTTAACAGTTGACCTCATGTACAATATTCTGATTCTATTCCATCTTGCCACTTGGATAAAAATCATGGATGAAGTCAAGGTCTATTCAACTCTCTTTGCCTTTACTGGCTTTCTTGGTACTTGATGCCAAGTCCTATATCACTCTCTCGTTCTTATAAGGTCATCCCTTTATTTGCTTTTTCCCCATCTTGGCTTATAGATGGTAACTTACTCTTAGTGATTCCTGATATAATGAATCCTCAATTTATGAACAGTCACTTAGCAACTGGTTGAAGTTGCAACAGACCTGCCCCCCCCCGAAGGTACTTTTGACCTGGTTCCAAACTCCCCCCCCCTTGTGGTCATATAAATACATTTTGGGTGCTTGGCAACTGGCCTGTGCTTATGGCTACTTGCCGAATCCTGCGGTCACATGACCAGGATTATGACAATTTTGCCAAAAACCAGACTATATTTGCAGTTTTCAGCAAAAATGCCCCATAGTAAACAATAGGTTTGCTTAACAATCATGGCATTTGCTTAGCAACTGCTACAAAAATGATTGTAAAATTGGCTGCATTCATGTAATGACCCACTTTATGACTGTCATGAACTGTACTGGGCAAGCTCCATTATGGTCCTAAGTGAAGGACAACCTCTATGGAAGTCATTGCCTTATGCTTCCTGCCCTTAGAGGAGACTTCCTATGATTGCTCTCCATGAATGCTCTCTTCTTCTTCTTCTTCTTCTTCTTCTTCTTCTTCTTCTTCTTCTTCTTCTTCTTCTTCTTCTTCTTCTTCTTCTTCTTCTTCTTCTTCTTATTCTTCTTCTTCTTCTTCTTATTCTTCTTATTCTTCTTCTTCTTCTTCTTCTTCTTCTTCTTCTTCTTCTTCTTCTTCTTCTTCTTCTTCTTCTTCTCCTCCTCCTCCTCCTCCTCCTCCTCCTTCTCCTTCTCCTTCTCCTTCTCCTTCTCCTTCTCCTTCTTCCTGCTCTTCCTATTCCTTCTCTTCCTTTTATTCTTATTCTTGTTTTTAATAAATTATTGTATTAAAGATGATAATTTATAATAAAAAAACTAGTACAAAAAATAGAAGATGCAGTAAAGGTAAATCTAGAAAGAGAAATAAAAAGGAAAGAAAAATTATAATGTAATTAAAAGAAAAAATATATAAAAACTGACTTCCCCCTCATCATAACATGTATAAACAATTTTAATAACTTATCACCTTCTCTTAAAATACAACAAATGATCTCTTCTTCCCATATCCCATTTCTTATCTATAAACAAATCCATTAAAACCTCATCATTTCAATCCTGATGCCAGCAAAATTCCATTAAAAGTCAACATACAGCATATCTATTTTAGCGTTGATCAAATAAACCAACTTTATATTCCGCCCTTTTACTTCTAACAGTCTTGATGTTCTTCAAATAATGCCCTAGAACTTAATTTTTCATTTTTTCTTTGTCCCTTCTCACAAAACTCTTCTTTGTCTTTGTGTGAGTGGGCAAACAATGAGAAGAGTACACCTGTGGAAGCAGCAAATTCTATTTTCTGTCATCCAAAATACATTTTTTTACTTATATTTATATTTTATTTATTTATATTTCCTATTTCTAAATTATATCACCCCTCTTAGATATAAGAAGTCTAGATATAAGAGAATCATCCATCTCATCCCAACACCAAACTAGTCCACAAACCTCAATATGTATGTGTTTTATCATCTTCAGGACTTGGTGGTCTACTTGGTGGCGGTGGAGGTGGATTACCTGGAGGTGGCATAGGCAGACTACCTGGAGGTGGAGTAGGTGGACTACCTGGAGGTGGACTAGGTGGACTACCTGGAGGCGGCATAGGTGGACTACCTGGAGGTGGAATAGGCGGTCTACCTGGAGGCGGCATAGGTGGACTACCTGGAGGTGGTGTGGGTGGATTACCTGGTAGGTCTATTAACATGGAGTAATTATATTATCAACCTTTCTGTACCGCAAAATCTTAGCTCTGAATAAGAATGGTTGTTCAGTAAATCCAAGGTCAACTTCTTCTAATTACATGTTTCAAACTAGGAGAAAGTTGGAGGGACAGTTTCTGACTTTGCTTATCAAGTTAGAGAAGCAGTTTATGGTGTGGTGGAAACAATGAAACAAAAATTCTCCATTCCCCCACTTACCTGTCTTGGTCATGGGCAAGGAGAGCATGTGGTATTGTGTGCATCATGACACCATCATGGAAATATGTAATATACAACATCTACTTGCATTATTTGGAGTGATTGTGCAATGACATTGTGGCATTTGTGGTGGTTTCCAACAGATGCCTCTGTAAACCTAGTCGCTGAATTTCCCATGTTTTGATTTTGTGCTGATGTGGGGAAAACGACCATTTAAATAAAGGACCTTTCCACAATAGAACAATACATTAAGTTATAGGCTAACCAAAAGGTCTGGCTTCACAAAACACACTAAATCACCAAAGAACTTATGAAAGTAGACGCTATCTAAGCTGCCATTAGAACTTAAAATGACTTGGTTAAGCATGTTATTTGAAGCTAGCTTTTATGTGTAAATAATCACGATACCCCAGAAAAGCCATCTATCTCCAATTACTTCTTCTTTTAAAAGAAGCACTGTAATTGGAGATGGGCGGCTTTTCTGTGGTATCAATTGGATTGATGTTAAGTGCTGACTCCTTTGAAACTTCTCATCTGCCAATGGGGTGAATAGACAGAAGACATATGGCATATTAGCATCACCAACTTGATGATGTTAATATGCCATTTTTAGAGAGCTTTAAAAAAAAAGGATTTCAGAAATCTAATAATCAGTGATTACAGATGAGGCCATGATGATGGCAATCTTCATATCATGTTCCTGAATTCTTCCCATGCATCTCAGCCTATCAACCTTACATTTGCTCAGTTGGGAATAGAATGCCTTCCTGATGCCTTGGTTGTATTTATATAACAAGTTTTACATTATTTTGAATTCACAGAACACTTGGCATCATAAACAAGCTAAATTCACACAACCAACAGCATGATTTACAAATGCAAACCTGATTATTGATCAAAAGGAAGTGGCTTAAATACACTCTGACAGGGGAGAATCACTTTTAAACTTTTGAAGTATGAAACCCAATCCAACCGTAAAAATTTCCCCTTGAATGAAAAGTAATAAGATGACAACGATATCCTATTACTGTAGTTGGGATATTTGCTAAGCTATCCACAAAGTTCTCTCATAACACTGATTGAGGCAGTTGCTCATTTAAACCCCACAAAGGCACAGGCATCCGCTACAGACTTTAAGGACCCCCCCAAAAAATAACCCATTGAAAAATTATTTGCCATGTTATGATGCAGATTCTGACCTTTCAAACTTTTGGCTTAACCTTGGATATAAATGCATAAGTCTCAAGGATTGCAAGTTTCATCTCTTGTTCCTCCGTCTGGCAGATGACCAAGCACAAAGTTGTTTAATAGGTTTATGCAAACCGAAATTATTTTTTATTGTAAACTCATCTTAAAAGTTTAATAATAAAAGAACAATAGCATTGGGGGGGGCCGTTCAGTGTTGGAACTGGTTGGTGGATTAACCGAGAAGCATATTAATTTTGCCCTTTTTGCTTCTTACCTTTGTATTTAGTGTTGTATTTAATGTTTTGATATTTATGATTTTAACTGTAAGCACCAAGAGTCACTTTTCAGAATAACATGGGCAGTATCTAAATTTAATAAAGAAATAAAATGAAATAAAATTGCCCATTGAAATCATGGCCTGTTAAATTCCGCTCCCTAGCCCACCATGTTTTAATTTCTTTGGTCCAAAATAAATTAGTCCTATCTATCTAACCCTTGAAATACATTTGCTGATTTTGACTTGCACAATCTCACGAAGATTGCATGATCCAACTGAAAGCACCTTTGCACTACTACTTAACAATACATCCTGTTTGAATCTGTTTTTTGGACCAGAGCAAAAAAATGGACAAATATTTATGCTGGACTAAGGCTTTTGCACTGCATCAACTGGTCTCTTTTGCTCCCACAGGTGCTGGTACTGGAGCCAAACCTGGGAAAATCCCTGGTAGGTCAGCAGTTGCTCCAAGAAACTTCAGCTCAAATAAGGATGAATGCTCTGAATTTTAATAACATGTTAATTAGCTGGGAGAGTAAGTGGGCTATAAAAACCGAAGGCATAGCTTGGGTTCATCTTTTGCTCTCTGACTTATAGGATTAGGTGGCTAATCACAGTGGGCTCTAGATGAACAACATTTTGTCTTTCATTTAAAACATTACTTCCACTCCATGTCCATCTGGGAAGCTAATGGTCATTTCCAAAAGATAGAAGAACCTCACATCGTTATAAAAATAACAGAATAGTGCTTTGGTGTGAAACAACACCATTAGGGATATCTTGATTTACCCATTTTTTTTAAATATGTGAGGTTTTTTGGACAGCAATCTTTTTTCCTCATCAAAAATAGTAAAAAGAGGCCAAAAGGACACAATTCTAAATAGAACAGCAATCAACAATCTTCAGTGGATCAGAAACAACCCCCTTGAATAGTATGAACCGACTGGTATTTGGTTAAAAGGTGGTCTCACTCAGTTTTGTGGCCCTTATTGCTAAGTAGCTGGCTTCCTACTACATATTTAACCTGAATTTAACCATTTTCTAGGTTTGCATTATATACTGAACTATAAACTAGCTAAACAGACTGGGACATGAAACATATCAAGGCACAGTAAAATTACTCAGTCATGAATTGACTTGATTGTGCAATTTAAGCCTCTGCCCAATCCAATAAGTCTGAGTGGCTTGGGTTTTAGGGCCTCTGGCTCTGGTATTTTTCCATCTTTACTTCTGCATGGGGTTGCGCTACTCCAAACAGAAATGCAATGCAATCTGGAGTTCTCCCGAGTCTCCTGCTTGAAGAGCAGATAACCACCTTGGCAAGGAGAGGTTTTGTACAACTTTATTTGTGTGCCACTTGTTGCTTTCCTGGGCCAGGAGGCACTGCTCAAAATCACTTTCACAGTTATCTCCCAATTGAATTACCACAATGCAAATGTTTCAGAATGCAGCAATGTGAACTGTTAGGAGCAGATTTCGGTATATTCATGCTACACCTCTACTCCACAACCTGTATTGACTCCCAGTGTGGTTTTGAATAAATTCAAGGTGCTGATTTTCATCTATAGATTCCTTCAAGACATGGAACCAAGTTACTGTATTTGCAGAGCTATCTTCCCCACTGTTTCTAGCCATCCCATTTGATCCAAGAGGAATCAGTTTGGGTTCCCTCAATTAAAGAATGTCAGCTAATGGGACCCATTCTGTTGCAATGCTGACCTTAGAGAAATTGCTGAAGACCTGGAGGTGCTCCAGGGCGTGGAGGTCAAGGCAGGTAGATGAGATGTTATTGGGTGTAATTGGGCTTGGTCTCAGTGATCATTAGATGTTTTTACATTTTTTACTGTTATTGTTCATCTATTCAAGTTGATTAAATGCAGAAATAAATTTAACATCAGCCTTCATTGATTTGATGCTCTCCAGATGTGTTTACATTTTGCAGAATTCCTAAGTAGCATAAACACTGAGAATTCTGGAAATTGAAGCCCCGGCAAAAAAAATGATTGTCATAAATGGTCTTGACCTGCTATCTTAGAGAAAAACAGAGGAACGAGCTAATAGATCATTTAAAGAGAAAATGTCTATTAAGACTGTGCTAGGACTTGCTTGGAAGCTTTATAATTCTTTGCAACAGATAAACAAAAATGAAAGTGTTCAAGAGAGAAGGCTAAAATCAATTTAGCAAGTGTTTTTGACTTAGTAGAAACTAGTTGACCTAATGACTTTAAATCTCACCTAGTTAAAATTCTTGCCTAGAACTTTTTAACTCATAAAGCCTCTTAGCATTACAGAAGAAGTTTGTTACGGTCTTCTGGGATGTTATTTCAGTTTCCCAAGGCAGCGTTCCAAATTAGCAGGTGGTTCTTGATCCAAGTAAAGTATTAACCAAACCAAGGCTGATCCTGCTTAGCTTCTAAGATCAGTTTTGTGCTGCCACCTGCTGAGACCATTAAAATGGTCTCAGCAGATGGAGACTCCAAGAAGGAGTCAGAGAATTCTTCTAGCTAAGGCATTTGAACTAAATATAATGCCCCAGTGGGAGAAGGTCATGGAAGGAAGAATGGTAGCAACTTTTTTCTATGTTTGACAGGTGTTGGAATTCCAGGAGTCTTCCCTGGAGGTGTACTTCCTGGCACAGGTGAGTTTGGCCTGTGTAAGGGCCATTCCCTCCCTTCCTTCAGCAACATGATGTTGAATGCATAGGTGCAAATTTAGCACATTTCAACAAACCAAAGAATAATGATGGAATGCTTGCAATTTACTATGTGAGACAAGGAGCCTCAAATTTCCTGACAGTTAGAACAATTAATCAGTGGATGGGTGCTCCAACACTGGAGGTTTTTAAGAAGCGATTGGACTACCATTTATCTGAAATGATATAGGGTTTCCTGCTTGAGCAGGGAGTTGGACTAGGAGACCTCCAAGGTCCCTTCCAACTCTTGTTATTTTGTTAAATAAAACCTTAAAGCTGCTGTTTCTGTAAATCTCAGGAATCCGCTATCCTGGTGTAGGAGTCTTGCCAGGAGTGCCAACTGGAACAGGTGTCAAACAGAAAGTCCCAGGTAAGTGGCATCTCTACCCCAAATGTTATTGTTTATAACAAGGTTTTGTTAGGATCTTATAATTCAGTGATTCTCAAACATTTTGGTCTCAGGCCCCATTTATGGTCTTAAAATTGATTGAGGACTCTGTAGAGCTTTGGTTTATGTGGATTGAATCTCTTGATATTTACTGTATTGGAAAATAAAACAGAAGAGTTGTAAAATATTTATTCTTTTGACTTGACACAGGGTTCCCCAGACCACTCTTTAAGAACTGCCCTTCTAATTCATACTGTGATTTACTTACCTCTGTCTCTGTGTGTGCATAGATGTGTGTGCCTCAATGTATGTGCATGTGCATAGATGCGCTTGTAAGAGCGCAACATATCTGCAAACACCTTCACTCTCAGTACTGATTTCTGAAAAGACCAAAACCAATCACATTACAGGTGATCCTTATTTAATGACCATGCCAATGAGTGTTCAAACTTATGAGAGTGCTGAATGAGTAGCAGTTACGACAGATCATTGGCTGCAGCATCCCCACATCATGTGACTGTGCACTGTGCACCCAGCTTGCAATTATGATGTTGCAACACCCCTTGGTCATCTGATCACCATTTGCAACCTTCTTTAATGACCCCATGAGGAAGCTGACAGGAGGTCTCAAGTGGCAACCACACAATGTCCTTGCTTAATGATCACATCACTTAGTGACAGAAATTCCTTCCCAATTGCCATTGTTAACCAAAGACTACAGTACCTGTATATGTAGATTGCTAGAAAAATATCATATATCTTAAAATCCTTTATAACTCAGATACGTTTTGAAATATCCTACACTCTAGCTACAGTACTGGGTTTTTTTTTCTCCTTTTCTTTTGGCATATTCATACTGCTATGTTCATATTAGAAGCAATTTCTAACATGCTTTCCCCTTCTCCTCTTTCAGGAGCTGGAGCAGGAGCCTTTGCTGGAATCCCTGGTAGGTTGGATGCTTTAAAAAAGAAAGAAAAAATGAGGGTTGCATCTCATATATACCCTGCTTCTATGGTAGCTGAAGATGAGACCAATCTATTCTGGTTCTTGGCTACAAAGTGGAGTAGGAAAATGTATTAGGTCATTGTTAGTTTGTGACCTTTCCCCTGTCAGCCCTCTACTTCATGTTACAGGACTTGGAGGAATTGGAGGTGGACAGCAACCAGGCCTACCTCTGGGTTATCCCATCAAGGCACCAAAACTCCCAGGTGATTCTTAATCCAGAGTTTAACAAATTGCTTTACACATCTCTGAAACATTTGTCCAAATAATCTATATATACTGACTACATTAGAAGGATTTCTCTCTCTCTCTCTCTCTCTCTCTCTCTCTCTCTCTCTCTCTCTCTCTCTCTCTCTCTCTCTCTCTCTCTCAATTTACATAACATTGCAAGACAAAAATAAAGTCTATTGTGTGAAACAGTTGTGGCTTGTAAATTATATCTTTGGCCTAACACAATGAGCAACTCTAAGATGGGCGAACTTCAACTTCTATAATTCCTCAGCCAGCCATGATTGATTGTGGAATTCTGAGAGTTGAAGTCCACAATTTTAGAGTTGCAAGGTTGAGAAACACTCCTAGCAGTCCACAAAGACTGTATTCTATCCTAATTGAAGGAGTAGTCTGTCTCAGTAAAATACCAGCTGCCTGTGTGCGTGTTCTGATCAAATGGTTCTCTTTCCAGGTAGTTACTATGGTGCTGGCAAGCTGACTTTCGGTGAGTCCTCTTGACATGTCTTCCATTCTAAACCTTTTACTCAGTGGTTGTGTAGCAAATAATGTCTGGGGCTTGATAGAAATGGGCACAGCTTAAGACCTTAAATCAACTAAATTATCAACTGGATTCCACATTGCACAACTCTGCTTGTATACCAATTGTGCCCTTTCCTAGACTAGGTCATAGTCATTCACACTTTGGTCACTTCTAATTTGGATTACTGCAACATGCTGTAAGTGGGACTATTCATGAAGTCCACCCAAAAGTTACAACGGGTCCAAAATGCAGCAATGCATAATGTATTGAGTGTCCCTAGTTTCACTCATATTACACCCATTGCAGGAGCTGTGCTGGCTCCCAGTTTTTTTCAGGGTGCAGTCTAAGGTGCTGGTTATTACTTTTAAAGCCTTCATAGTGTGGGACCAGGTTATTTGCCTCTCTGAAGATATGTGTCCATCTGACTAGAGTTGATGCATTGGGCACACTTCGGTTTTCTTCCCTTAAATATTGCCATCTTATGGGGCCTAGAACTGTGCCTTTTCCTTGTAGCCTCTGCCTTAAGAACTGATGGGCCCCTAGAGAGCATTAAAATCTAATTCTTCCCCCAGGAAGAGGTTTTAGAATAGGGTGAGGTCAAGATGGGACAATAATGTGGATGCATCAGAGCAGTTTTTCTGTTTCTGGTTTTGTTACCGTTAATTTGTTACTGTTTTATATATTTTTTTGTCAGTTGTAAGCCACCCAGATCTGTTTTTAAAATGGGCAGCTATATAACTGTTTTAAAGGAAGAATTAATAATGGACCAGGTGAGCCATCCATTTAAAAGGAAGGTTTGTGAAGCTTAGCATCAGGCTTCATAGTAAGCCTAAGAATGTGAGCATGTTTTCCTTACTGATTTCTGTCATTTGGTTTGAATCTAGTTCTAGGTCTCATGACTTTGATTGGAATTGTGGTTTTGGATAGGAGGCAGAATTGAAAATTATCTGCAAATCTCCTGAGCCTGCTGCCTACAGAATGACAAGTATAAGAGTGGAATGAAATTAGATCTAGTTCCGTAATTAGATGCAGAACAGCCTTTCCCCATCCTGTACCTTCCAGCTGCCTTGGGATTATGGTTGTAGAAGTCTAATACATTTGGAAAGGACTGGGTTGGGGAAGGTATACAAATATTAGGAACTAAGAGATCTCTGTCTCTCTAAGACAACAGGGATGAATTGAAGGAGACATAATCCCACTTACCAATATGTGGGAGGTGTTTTTATCAAGAAGAGCCCCAATGTCTTATTTTCCCTTCAATTTTCTTTATATTTTGTATTAGACAAAAATATTAATACCTATTCTCAAGCAGATCTGCCTTCTCTATGTGGTTTTAGGTGGGGCAGCTGGTGCATATGCTGGAGGACTTGGAGGGAAACCTGGCTATCCAACGGGTACAGGTAAATGTCTTTGTGCGTTTGGCTAAAGGTCAGACAAGAGTGTTAGCAAAGCCCTTCCTGTCTTACTGTCTTACAGCTCAGGGCAAATTTGGCATTGTGACATAGTTACAGAATGCCAGGGGTGTGAGGCGCCTGTAGCCATCCAGATTTTGCTGAATGATGGTGTTTTCCACTGTATCTGTAAAGGAATTTAGAGATGACCTTGGAAGGTATGAAAGAATATTTAAGGATGGACTTGGTGAAGCAATTACACAGTCGAGAGATTAAAGCCAGTAGAAGGGAAAGAAAATAAAACTCAGATGACTCTGTCTTGATTTTGTTCATCAGAATATAGAACAGAGAGGAACTGAGGGGTCCTGGGTGCTCTCTAAACTTGATTGTTTTCTTGCAGATGTTTCATTACCAAACTAGTAAGGCACCACAGCTAGTAGGAAATGGAGCTTGCTCTCATTTTATACCCTAGTGACAGGGCATCAGACAGGGCAAGCCACTAGAATAAAAAATGAAAGCAAACCCCACAAAAATGCCTGAGGTTCTGCTTTATTCTGCAGGTGTAGGAGCTCAGGCTGCTGCTGCTAAGGCAGCCGCAAAATATGGTAAGTAACAAACCAGAAAGAACCATCAGCATTTTTGCAGTACGTACTCAAAATTCACCCTGCAGGATTTCCAGGTTGAATAAATATTTAATGTTTTAGAACCTATGCAACCTCTGTGGTCCCTAGGGCTCCTAATCATAATTGTTAAATTACAACTTTAAAAAACATGGCTAAATCTCAAATATCTATATTATCACATGAGACCTCATGAGACTTTAGCCATTTTAAAATTATCTTTATTTTTTATTTGTTTGTTCATACTTTCTTGAACCCACAATATCATCCAAGAGTATCCACTGCCTAAACAAGTCACTGAACTTCTGTCACCTAAAGAATATTTGCTCTAATTCTTAATATTTTTGGAATAAAGTGCCTTAATAGTACTTTCTTGGCTATAAAAAAGGAGATGTTCTTCTATGGAATTCAATCCTGCAGAGAACCTTTCTTTTCAGATCTTGAGATCCACAGTAACTCGAGGTTGGGGAACATGAAGGTCAAATGTCTTAGGTGGATTATGACGGGATTAGAAATATTTGCCCTTCATTCTGCTGGGAGTCAAAATACTAGGAATTTTGGCCAATATGCATCCCTCCTTTTCTCTCACAAGGTGCTGGACTTCTGCCTGGAGCAGGCACCATCCCTGGAGTTGGGACCCTTGGTGGAGGAGGGTTGTTGCCTGGTGCTGGTGGTGTTCCAGGAGGAATAGGTAATTTCCTATATATTGGAAAGATATATCAAATATGTCTTGCTGGATCCCTGCCTGAGAATAAGGACAGTTCATTATGGGCTACCATGATGTCAATAAAACTAAGATGAATAAAATTAAGATCTATATTGCCCAAATTCTGCCCCTACCTACTGGAGGCCGATTCACTCTCAGATATTATAAGTCAGCTATGAAGAAGATGGCCATGTCCAACTTTCATTATCCTTGGCACCTTGGCTAGGGCTGATGCATGTCCAGCAAAATTGGAGGGCCATTGCTTCTCTCTCCCTCATCTAAAAACATAGAGTGCATCTGAACTGATCCAGAACTAGCTGGTCATTAGGAGTCATCCTCACCTTGCCTTGAAGTTCCATCACAGAAGTGGATAAGCCCAGCCATACTTGGAAATCAGAGCTCAGCAGAAAGACCCTGGACTCATAAACCTTGTGGAGGCTGAAGCATTCTGTGAGTGCATGTGGGCATTCCTGAGACCCAAGTTGATGTGATCAATGATTAGTGAAGCAGGTATTATAACTGAAACATAATGGAGATGTATATACAGGAAGTACGATAGGAATAGGCCAAGCCTAGCTTCTAGCTAGCTGCATCCTACTAGGAAGGAAGTCCAAGATAATATCTTTGTATGTGTCCCTGAGAGAAAGCTAGATGGAAATGACTGCAGATTAACAAAGAGGGGGACACATTAAACATTAACTCTCCCTCTATATCCTATGCCCTTTATGGTCAGTAGAGTATGGAGCGCTGAAGAGCCTATGGCATTGGATTTGGAGGTCCAACAAGACTTTGGGTATCGCTCTGATTTAGATGGCTATGGGAATATATGCAGGCATAAGGCTCATTTAGCCCAACTAAATGTGCTCCCCACAATCATGCTACTTCCGCCACCACAGCCATGACTTTCTGAAATCCACTCCTCCATGATCCAGATAGAGTAGGAACATCTTTTCTTGTTGGCATCAGCACCCCAAAGGTAATAAGACAAGTAAACTTCTCCCATCTTTTTTTTTCCTTCAGGTGCCGGTGGACCAGCGGTAGCAGCAGGCATAGCTGCCAAAGTAGCTGCTAAAGCAGCAGCTTATGGTGAGTTGGTTCATCTTCTTTAGATATGCTTGAACTAGAATTGAAGCTGGAACTGAAGCTGAAGTAAATTTGGGAGGATAAAGAACGTACAGACTAAATTAAATAAGGCAGCAAGAATCTTCTATGGAATAACTTAGAATTGGCAGAGAAAAAGGAAATTCTCTTGCTTTAAGCTTAATTTTGACTTCACTGACACATCCATGTTGTTTTCTTGGAAACAGGATGAAAATGGTGTATCATTTATCTTCCAGTGGTATTTTTCTTCTTTTTTTTCCTTTTTCTTTATTTATTTCTCACATTTCTGAGCAGCCTGTCTCCCTAAAAAAAAAGACTTTTTACTTCCTAGTCCAATCTTCAACTTTGGGATTTCCTGGTGATGGGCCATCTAAGTTCTTATCAGGCCCAACCCTATCTGAGATCGGCTGAGGTCACCCAAATGTTGCCATCTGCTTTAACAAAAACTGGCAGAAAGGTGCAGTTTGGAGAAAGGAAATATGGGGAGAGGCCTGATTCTTCTGCACTTGTTACTGCTCCTTTGGGGTCTTTTCACCTGAGGCTTTGTGAATTGACTGTAACAAACATGCCTTCATGCATGGAGGAACTAGGCACAGGAAGAAGGAACCCTTCCTCTGCCTTCAGTCCTTCCTTCTGTCCTCAAAAATGTTACCTCTCTTCTCCTTGTTTAGATACTGGACAAACCATGTTAACTCTTCCAAACTTTCTACCTAGACTTAACAGCTAGCTAATCTCTCTTTCTTTCTTGGAGTGATCTGATATGATTGTTGAGTTTGGGGTGGCAATTTTTGTTCTGGTCTTTGTGGGACCAGGATGCTAAGCTTCATGGTCGCTTCTTGTGTTCCTCAAAAAAAAAAAAAAAAAAGAATCTGAGATAGGGAGGAAAGTCACATGGATAGCTTCAAATAAATTAGTGTAGTATCAAACAGGATGGATTTTGAGCATCTCCTCTTTAGGTACTAAATACTGCATCTTTCCTAGGTGCACCTGATCTGCTCTCCTGAGAGCTTAGGAATTGTAGTATATTGGTTGCTGTCACTTTTTCCTGGACTGTCTCAGCCTGTCATCTGTTTTTTATTGAAGAAGTGAGTTGGCAATGGGGAGTCAAGCAGTTGAAGGAATTTAAGGAAACCACAGCACCGTCTAGTTTCACCAAGCAAGATAGTGAGATTGTACACTATTTTCCAGTCCCTGAAGTTCTGCTCAAATGTCCATCCTGCATTAAAATCAAGGGACAGGAGCACCAGCTCTGATGTGTTTTTCCTTTGGTGCGCCTCATCTGTGGCTTTTGGGCTCAAGGTAAAAGTCAGAAACAAATGTGTAACATGGGTCCTGAGCTATCTTGAAATCCAACACTTCAGCCCAGAAAGCCTTCCTTCCCTTCCCTGTTTTTACTGCCTCTGCAGTTGCCATTTTTACAAAGGATGAATTACCTAGGTTTGATTAGATGTACAAGTTGAATGTTCCAGGCACTGTGATGTTCTATCTTCTCTATTCATTTTTTTAGCTATATATAAAATTTTTATTAAATGTTGAACAGAAAAAAAAACAAAATTACATTTTGAAAGATAGAAAAGTAAAGAAAAGCAATAAATAAATGGAAAGAGTGCAAAGAAAAGAGTCATAAAGAAGTGGCTTCTAATTCTAGTTTTTAGGTTAGGTTACTAGCTTACAATATAACTTCCTTCGTTCTATAGCAGTGTTTCTCAACCTTGACAATTTTAAGGCATGTGGACTTAACTCCAAGAATTCCACAGCCAGCAATGCTGGCTGTGGAATTCTGGGAATTGAAGTCCACATGCCTTAAAATTGTCAAGGTTGAGAAACACTGTTCTATAGTCTGCCCTTTGGGGAAGGAAGTGAAAGAATATGGGCTTTAGTTACATAATGGGAGAAAGAAGAAAGATTTTAAGTGAGTGGGTTGTTGCTAGATAGGTCCTGCTGCCTAGTTATGATAGCAGCTTGATTTCTCCATTGGATTTTGAGACATCATTTTCATTTTTACAAGAAAGGCAGAAACATAATTTCCAATGGAAGAATAATTTCCAATGGAAGAATAAAATAGTGCTCATCTTTTGTTCCATTATCTTACACACAGCTTCACTGCATTTATTAATGTTTTTTATTTTTTTACACATGAACTGAGCAGTGTCGGAAAGAATGGGAAAGGTTTTTTTGAAACCATTCATTGTATTAGTCAGTGTATTACCCAGTGGTAGTTGCGGTGAAAGTCTGGATTTTTCTATTGATTTCTATGGGCAGCCTTTATTTCTCCTCAGAAGTGGAGGTGAGGCGTGGGTGGAATTCAAATGTGTTGAAAGCGGAGTCACCTTGAGCATCACTCTTTCCTTTTCCATGTCTATGACTCAGCCCTGTCAGTGACAGGAAAGAGGCTGCCATCTAGTGGATCATTCTGGCTACAACATGTATATCATTCCATGCAATGTTTTGAACTTCCTAGCTAGGCCAACCGGCTGCTCAAGCAGGAAACCCTATACAATTCCAGACAAGTGGCTTTCCAGACTCTTCTTAAAAGCCTCCAGTGATGGAGCACCCATAACTTCTGAAGGCAAGCCATTCTACTAGTTAATTGTTCTCAATGTTAGGAAATTTCTCCTTAGTCCTAGGTTGCGTCTCTTCTTAATTAGTTTCCATCCGTTGTTTCTTACCCTGCCTTCTGGTGCTTTGGAAAATAGATTGACCCCCCCCCCTCTTCTTTGTGGCAGCTCCTCCTAGTAAAATAGAAGAAAATAGAAGAATAGGCTTGTGGTGGTCACAGGGTAGCTTGAAGGTACAATGATCTACCATTCTTCATGTGTCAAGAACTATTCAGATAACAGGTAGAAAGAGCATCATGGGGTAGTGCAGTGGTTAGAATGCAGTATTGCAGGCTGATTCTGCTGACTGCCAGGGGTTTGATCCTCATCTTTGACTCAGCCTTCCATCCTTCTGAGGTGGGTAAAATGAGGACCCAGATTGTTGGGGGCAATAGGCTGACTCTGTAAACCACTTAGAGAGGGCTGTAAAGCACTGTGAAGCAGTATATAAGTCTAAGTACTATTGCTATTGCTATCTTTTCCAACCAACAAATTGTATTAAAAACCATAAGCTTTTAATAATCAGTAACTTCCCATCATGACAGACCCTCTTTGAAGCAGGAAGTTTTCATCTCTGTACTTTTGGGGATTCAGCAGCAGCGCTAAATATTCATTCAGGAAATATTATATTTATTTTATGATTACAACCTCACCATCAGTGAATTAGGTAGTGGCAAAAGCTGAAATTACTGCTTATGCAGCAGTAAATAAAATAATTATTATTAAATTAATAGGATTCTATTTATAACAAGAGGAGTTCTACCTAGGCAGCAGCACTTAGTGGTTCTTGAAGTCAGAAACTGAAGTAGGCTGTGGTTGGCACTGACATGGGAAATCCCAGGACTGTGGTTAGACTGTGAAGTAAAAAAAAAAGAAAGTTTTCCTGTACAACGACAATGATAGTGCCCACTTCCAGATAACTGCCAAGAAAATTTAACTATGACGTTATTAAAAGTCAAGCTCAGCTGAAAGCATACTTTCCCTCTTTTAATATATTAATTATTATAATTACTATTACAATAATTATAGCATTGCAGATGGATGGTTCTGTGGTATAGGGCTTAAAGAGTTTGCATGAACTGTAAAGTTGCCATTCTCCAGAAAAACAAGTCATAGTTTCAAATTGTTCTTGGCACCATCCTTATCATGGATAGTGATGATAGTAACCTCCCTAGTTAGAAGCACCAATTACCACCTTTTAACTCTTTTCTGGACACAAACAACTTAGTTACAGTACTTCATGTTCTGGTGTCCTCATATGTTTAAACTACTATAATGCAATATTTGGAAGACCTGAAGGACCAGGTTTGGGATAGATTCACCTGGAGAAAATCTGGTCATTCTGAGTTGATTTAATGGCACATAAACAAAACAATGCACAGGGTGGGGGGGAGACACAATTCCTACAGTAGGATGTCCCTGTTAGAGTCTTAGTTTCTCCTTTAAATGGCTGCTGTAAGAAAAGTTTTGATGTCATTTTTGTTCTCTCCCATACTTCAAAATTAAACATTATTATAAACTTAGTTATGGTTAGTACTGGTATTTTTATTACTGATTGTAAAATGCATTAAATGTGTAACATTGGGAAGTACCATATAGTTTTATTAAATGCAATATACTACAAATTACTATACTGCAGATACTCCTTGATTTACAACCATTTGAAATTACAGTGGTATTGAAAAAAGTTACTTACTATTGGTTCCCACACTTATAACAGTTGCAGCATCCCCAGGGTCATGTGATCAAAATCTGAGTGCTTGACAACTGGCAACCATTTACAATGGTTGCAGCATCCAAGGAATATGTGATCATCATTTCTGACTTTCCCAAGGGCCTCTCACAAGCAAAATCCACTGGGGAAACCAGATCTGCTTATTGACACACAATTCACTGAATAAGTGCAGTGATTGACATAACAACCATGGCAAAAGTCGTAAAATTGGGTAGCATGACTCATTTAACAACTGCCTTGCTTATCAGTGGAAATTTTAGTCCCAATTGTAGTTATAAGTGAAGGACTATCTGTAAAACTTTTTCCTTTTTGCATAGCCTTTGATAACTTGATGCAGTCCAAATATGCTTGAGTACAATTCCTATTAACCCAGCTAATAGTAAACATGTCAGCTACGGATGAATGGAATTATACTCTTTCTAAAAGTTATACATATATTATAGTGTCAGCCTCAGGAAGACTGACCTAATGAACAAGTGGCTAAAGTTCTGAATTTAAGTGATCTGGAAATTTCCTAAATCACAGGTTACTATCCTAACCACTGTGCTATTCTGGCCTTCCACCCACGAATCCTTCCATTTCTTTGTGGTTTGAGGATGGCAAAGCTAGTAAACTACCCACAGAGATTACCATTATCATACTACCATTTCACCCACCAGCCTTTTATGGCTAATTGTGTATATTTGTGTGTATTTATTTCTTTATTGTCCATCAATGGAAGTTTCTGAAAAAAAGCATTTTTCTGCAATTAACGTTTTCTGTTCTCCTCTGCTGTTCTAATAAATTAATGCTAATTATTGGTCTGGAACTAACCAATATTGGTCAACATTCAAGAGATTCATGACTCCCTTCTCCCAATTCCAGTCTGTACCCTTTATGGCTTTCTTTCTCTTTGCAGGTGGCAGACCTGTCCCTGGAGCTGGAGTGGGTGGTATCGGCGTTGGTCTTCCAGGAGTCCCTGGAACTGGAGTGGGTGGTATCGGCGGTCTTCCAGGAGTTCCTGGAATTGGAGTTGGTGGTCTTCCTGGTATTGGTGGACTTCCAGGACTTGCACCTGGAGTTGGAGTAGGCCCAGGAGGAGTTGGTGTGGGAGGTAAGTTGTTTAGGGGAAGAGAAAGAAGAGATGAAACCGGAGTTTGCTTCTGTATCCCAAATAGTCAATCCCATTTAGTCCAACAGCTCTCAATTATAAACTTGTTCACTGGCTTTAAACATATATATATATATATATATTCATTGCTTTTAGGTTATATCACCAAGTAGGGGGTCCAATGGGCAGAAGTGCAATAGCAATAGCACTTAGATTATATACCGCTTCATAGTGCTTTACAGCCCTTTCTAAGCAATTTAAAGAGTCACCATATTGCCCCCAACAATCTGGGTCCTCATTTTACCGACCTCGGAAGAATGGAAAACTGAGTCAACCTTCAGCTGGTCAGGATCGAACTCCTGGCAGTGAGCTCAATTAGCCCGCAATACTGCATTCTAACTATTGCACCACCACAGCACCTAGAATACTAGCAAACACACCCATACTGTGTGGCATATGTGAACAGAGGGCAGGGGATATCTGCTCAAATAGCAGTATCTATCTCAACAGCACCAGGTAATCACAGTCATTCTGATCCTAGTAACTGAAGCAGAAACCTAATTTTAACATCCACATAAGGAGCAGAGCTGAACCCACCACCCCTTATTTATTCTTCCTCCATCCTGACACCAAAGACACTTCCATGCTGCTTCAGTCCCTGCTCCTCATCTTTTCAAAAGCAGTTTGGGATTGTTGTCTATCAGCTGATCTTAAAAAGCTGAGAAGGAGCAGGAAAGCTTATGAGCCATCTGGGTACTCTCCAAGTGCTGAGTAAGAGAGTGCAAAGAACATTGTTTGGCTTCACAATGCCACAGGTGCTGGAGTAATAAAAGTCCCTTCCCACATCCCCATGCCTTGCAAAAGGGAAAAAGAAAAAATTATTAGACTCTGTCTTGACCAGGAACCCACTGAGTGGAACAGAAAAGAAAGCAAAACAGTCAAACTATTAATCATGTTTACTTCCTTTTCCTGCATTGTTATAAGGCAGGTAAGAATTGAAAGCTATCAGAGGCAGAGGTGTGCAGTCTTTCAATCCAAAGCCGAAAAGTCAGACATCCTCAAATCCTTCACTCAAATGCAGCCACTGTGTAATCGGGGGGGGGGGGGTTCCCAAATTCTTCAGCTCATTGACCCCTTTGTGAAGTTTCAGATTGTTTATTGACTCCTGAACATTAATTATATGAAAATAATTTAAGAAATACTACTTTAATTAATACAGTAATGGTACAAATTATCATCACACATTTTCTGCTTTAGATACTATACAAATACTGCCCACCTCTATTTGAAGCAACACAATCAGTTCAGGCTGTATTTGACAATAGGATCATCAGAGATTGTGTGTCTTTGCCCGATTTTATGCCAAAATACCTGAGCAGTAGATACAAGAGCAGTGTTCTTAAATTGTTTGACCCAATTACCAGTTTTTCCCAGTCTCAAATAGTGTCATCACCCCCGCTCCCAAAACTATATTTTACGCAAGCATATAGGCAGCAGAAACTCAACTCAACTTGTTTCAACTCAGAAACAAGCAAATTGCTCCATAAACCACAGGATGTGCCCAGTTAAAGAACTACAGTATTAGAGGGACCTGAAATGTAGCTACTTTAAAAAAAAAAAAAAAACCCTGCAAATAGAAAGCTTTATTGACTTTAGCTCCTGAACGGGGAGGCAAGGTGAGACGAAGAGTTTCACCAATTGGACAACCTGCCACTTGTGCTTTAAAAATGGGCTGCAAAATGGAAGTCTAGTAGACCTAATGCTTTGAAGTGTGCTGCGGCTGAGTGTGAAATTAATTGGCTCAGCAGGCAAACACAGCAGACAGCGTGGGAAGAGCTTCCTCTGAATCCAGTTCTGGATTGGCAGAAAATGAGGTTGACTGGAATTAAAAACCTTTTGATACGACAAATTGAACAAGAAGGCCCTCTGTCCCTGTCCGTTCTTGTTTTAATGTTAAAATTACATCCCACCCACTTTCTGTATTACTCCATTTTCTTGCAATGCAGTACAGCACCAGCAGCACCCCACATTTTAAGATTAGTGTCTGATTCACTTCCTGCTGGCCTCTGTCCTTTGTTATAAGCATATACACTCACATACAAGGACATGAAAGATACCTTTACCTAAGTCCCCATGTGAGGTAACAGCAAATGAATCAGCCATGTGGGGAAAAGAGGAAATGACAAACCACGTTTTGGAACGATCACGTTCGTTGAATACCACAATGTAAAGAATGCATGCACGAAGCAGTGATTTTCTAGGGAAGAATGAAATCGCACATGGATAAATTAAATAATACAGTTTTGAGAATTTATATGCCGATGGTCCTCGACTTACAACCACAACTGAGCCCAAAATTTCTGTTGCTAAGTGAGACCTTTGCTAAGTGAATTTTGCCCCATTTCATGACCTTCCTTGCCACAGTTGTTAAATGAATCACTGCAGTTGTTAAATTAGTCACACAGTTATGAAGTGAATCTGGCTTCCCCATTGACTTTGCTTGTCAGAAGGTCGCAAAAGGGGATCACATGATCCCAGGACACTGCAGCCGTCATAAATATGAGTCAGTTGTCAAGCATCCAAATTTTGATCACGTGACCATGATGATGCTACAATAGCCGTAAGTGTGAAAAACGGGCATAAGTCACTTTTTCCAGTGCCATTGTAACTTCGAACGGTCACTAATGAACTATTGTAAGTTGAGGACTACTTGTATTCTATGGCCAATAAAAAGAATAGGATATCAGTAAAAAGCTTACCTTACTACAATACTGTATTTTAATTAAAGCGCGCCTGGGACTTTTCCTCTCCAGTGCTCAGGTTACGAGTGGCCAGAGCCCAAATGAGCAAGGGAACTCATCTTCCTCTGTTGCCACCCCCTTCTCTTCACTCCCTACCTGGGTGTCTGTTAAAGGGAGCTTCTGGACAGGAAGTAAAGTTTGACAAAGCAAAAATGGTGGCTGGGAAGGTCTCATCTCCCTTACACAACTGGACCGCTTCCAGTTTTAACCAAGCCAGGCTGATTTAACTGCCCAGCACCAGCTAAGCTTTTGCTGATGCCAGCAAAACTTTCAGAATAAATTGTTTCATCTCCTTCCCTTTGGCCCCAAGGGTACATTTCCATTACAGTATTTCTTAAAATAAGGGTAAGATTAAAATGAGGGTAATGTCAGTTTTGCATTATTATCACAGCAAGGTGGAAGACTATATTTGAAATGCATTACGTTTCTATTATTAAGCTATACCTCCTGTTTCTTCTCTTGCTTGAATCTGCAAGGAGTGAGTCCAGCATTAGCAGCAGCTGCTGCCGCTAAAGCAGCAAAATACGGTATGTCTCCCAATTATTTGAGAGCTCTTTATTGAGGGGGAGGGTAGCTGTAGCAAACTCAAGGCAGGCAGATATCATTGCAGTGCACATTGTAGGATTGGGCCCTCCATTCTGCTCTCTCTCTCTCTCTCTCTCTCTCTCCCTCCCTCCCTCCCTCCCTTTCTCTCACCATTAAAGTAGTTCCTGGGATGGGCAAATTTGTACTTAGTAAGTGTGCCCATCTTAGTGACATCTCAGAAGCTAGAGGGCAAGTAGGTAAATCAGCATGAAGTTACAACTACTACTGAAAACAAGATGCTGCAATATTGTCAAACAGAGAGTTGAAGTCCATGCATCTTAGATTATGAGGTTGAGAAACGTCAATCTGTGCAGTACAGCAGAGAACAGAGAAATATTTTGGTGGGGAAAACTAGGAGGAGATTTTGAGTTTCTGCTTTCTGACAGCAGTAAGATTTAATGCAGCACGCCTGGTGCCCTACCTAGAGTATGTTTGAAATCAGGAAAGGTTTCAATTCTTAACACTTTCCCTAGTTATCTAGCCAAAACAAAACTAGAAATTATACTTTGAATTTTCCCCCTCTAACCCTAAGTTATGCAAAATAAAATTTAGAAAATCAAATTGACTTTCTTAACATGTGCAAGTTGCAAGATTCAGGCTTTCCAGGCAGAACGTGGATTGAATGAATGCCCAGATATATCCTAAGTCTACTTATACAGGAAGTAGTTGCTATATGCAGTGATACTTCTGTGATCTGTAGAGGAGGGAAGGGGCGTTATGTGGATTTTTATCTAGGAATCACCTCTCCAGGACAGAGAGAGAGCGTGATTGGTTCAAGGAGTCCCAGTTAACTGTGTGCTTAAAATGGGATTAGAAGTCATGGTATCCTGATTTGTAGCCTGGTGCCTTAAACCACTATATCAAACAGGCTCATACATCAAACTGACACATACAATATATAAAAGGGCACAGTGGTGGGATTCAAATATGTGAACAACTGGTTCTCTGTGTGGATGCCACTTCCGGAAATCTATTCTGGGCTTGGGCAACAAAAAATTACCTACCGGTTCTGCCGAAGTGGTGCGAACCAGCTGAATCCCACCACTGGAAGGGCAGCAATGAGATTAATGAAAATATTGAGGAATAAAACACATCTTTTGAATCAGTGAAACCCCCCCCCCCCAAAAAAAAGTGACTGAGCAGAATTGTCATAGAAAAGAATTATTCACATAGAAAGTCATCCATAAAAAGGATAAGCCTGTGCATCCCACCAATCCCTGTTCCCCAAACAGAGGCACTGTGCCTGTGCATCCCACAAATCTGAGGGACAGAGTGATGAGCCAACAAACACAGCCTGTGAAACCTCCCTCGAACTTTGTGTCACTGCCTGCATGAGGAAACATGTCCATGAATAGAATCCTGTATGTGATGGGATTACAGAATGAGCATGGAGAGATTAGTGCTTTGGGAACCACAATCTAATATAGACTGTTTTTGCTCTAATGTGATCATTAGATAGTAGCATGCAGGCAATTCTCTCCTGAGTCTGTCCTGATGATCAGCAGCATTGATGTTGCATGGATTTTCTGAATAAGTATGGCTGGTAGGCAAGTACTTTGGTGAATCTTCTTTGAATTCCCACCAAGTTCCACTCCAATTGAGTTTCTGCTGAGTTTCCACTCCAATTTCATAATTTATTTCCTAGGACGGGTTCCAGGTGGCGTTGGCCCTGGTGGCGTCATCCCTGGTGGCGTTGGCCCTGGTGGCATCATCCCTGGCGGCGTTGGCCCTGGTGGTGTCATCCCTGGTGGCGTCATCCCTGGTGGTGTTGGCCCTGGTGGTGTCATCCCTGGTGGTGTTGGCCCTGGTGGTGTCGGCCCTGGTGGCGTTGGCCCTGGTGGCGTCATCACTGGTGGCACTGGCATCCCAGGTATTGGTGGAGTTCCTGGGGTGCCAGCAGTCCCAGGTGCGGGGAAGCTCCATGCCTGTATGGATTCTGTCCTGTAACCTAACTGTGTTTCTATGCACATTAGGAGTTGGAGCAGCAGCGGCAGCGGCAGCAGCTAAGGCAGCAGCAAAAGCAGCAGCATATGGTAAATAGGCAATCTGTTTCTTTTCTCATTGCAACACAAATTGGTCCATATAATCAGACTATTTTTTTTCAATATTTTTTTTCTCAGGAACTGGAGTTGTCCCTGGCGGAGTTAGACCTGGTGGAGTCGTGCCTGGTGGGGTCGTGCCTGGTGGGGTCGTGCCTGGCGGAGTTGTACCTGGCGGAGTTGTGCCTGGTGGGCTCGTGCCTGGCGGAGTTGTGCCTGGTGGCGTTGTGCCCGGCGGAGTTGTGCCCGGCGGAGTTGTACCTGGTGGACTGGGACCTGGTGGAGTGGGACCTGGTGGAGTGGGACTAGGTAAGTTGTTAGGCATATAGGAAATATAAAAGCACAGCCTTACTTTCAATGGCATTTTTATGCTGCCCATCTTGCCAAGAGTCAATTCTAGGTGGCTTACAACCAAGCACAACCAACCATTTTGTGTCAACCCTAGAATGGGTGGTTAGCAGTTTAATTCAACAGTGGGGAAATTTCTGTATATTTAGGTCATTCAGTCCAGCTCTGGACTGAAATAGTGTCACTTGGGGGGAATTTGGAAGCCTTTTCTGTCATGATGCCTGTTTTATGTAACCTCTTTCCCCACAGATACAGTACAGACTTTGTTGGTCTTCAGGAAAGCAGTGAAGACCTAGCTTTTCCCCTAGGCTTTGGAGCTCCGATCTGATGGAGCTAGGGTGGTGGATTTATGGATGCAAGTTAGATCATATCAACATTTAGGTTAAATTGGAGGTGAGGAGTTGAATTGGAATTGCATTGTAACCTGTTTGCCACCCAGAATTGCTTCTGGCAGATGAGCAGCTATGTAAGTTTGTTCCATAAATGAATTAAATAAATAAGTCATTGTTCAGTGCAAGAATCCAAGTTAAAGCATCTCTTAAAAGGTGGCCATCCAGTTTCTGGATGAACATATCCAGGGAATGCTCATCCAGAACCTACCAGTATTTCACACTTCAATTGTTCTTACCCTTGGGTAGTTTTTCCAACATTCAATTGGAAGCAGCCTTCCTTTAATTTAAATCCATTATTCCATGTCCTTGCAGTCTGTAATGATAAAGGAACAAGTTTTACTGATTTTCTTCTATGTGGTTGCTTTTTAAATATTTGAAGCATGCTACCATATTTCTCTCCAGGCTCTTTTTCTCAAGGCTGAAACATGCTTAACAACTTCAATCTCTGTTTGTTTCAGGTTATTATCTTTGTTGACCTTTTCTGAAACTATTCTGAATCCTCTGATTCCTTAAAATTTGGTGCCTACAGTTGGTACAAAACTTCAGCTGAGTATTATTCCCATAGATTGGACACTATGTTTACTAAAGAAGCCTGAAATTGTGTTTGCCTTTTTGGAAACCACAACACCCTGCTGACTCATATAGAGTTTGCAATCATGGTTTCATGGTTATTCAGCTGAAGTTAGGCTGCCATTGGGGTGATTCCCAATCCTGCGAGGAACTGGGGAACTATGCAGAATAGGTGTTGATGAAGACCTTATCTTTATTTTTCTTGTATTTGCAGTTCCGGGAAGTTCTGCAGCTGCTCTAAAAGCAGCTGCCAAAGCAGCAAAATATGGTAAGGTCACTTCAGTCCAGCACAGGCAACAATTTAGAAAAATCTGTTCACTGAGTTAGAAGTACTGGGACAAAGGGACCACTCAGCGCTGTGCTCCAAGGAGACTGTGTCCTTTGGAGAGAACATAGCATCTGAAGAGGACTCTGTCCTAGATCCCTCTCTTATTTCCTGTTATACACATTGTATGAATGTTAGTTTATGTGAAAAAAAATCAGGATGAATCTGGTAGCACCTTTTCTGAATAGGTTTATTAACAGGCATAGGCTTTTGTGAACTGCAATGCACTTTATCAGAGGCACAGAGCCTGTGATGCAGCTCACAAAAGCTTGTACCTGCCAATAAACTGTGTGAGTCAGAAAAGGTGCTTCAGATTTTTTTGTCTCTCATCATCTATGGCTTTGGTTCTCCTTAATCATCGTTTAATAATTGATCCTTGGTGGCTCAGCATATCATGCAGAACCACAGACTTTAAAAACAGAATATGTGTGTGTATGAATACAGCCATACAAGTGCAGCTACATTCACCAGACCTTTCTCAAAAGTTATGTATTTACCATGGGTCAAAAGCGGGATGATGAAACCAGCAAATAAGTTGATGCTTGTTATTATTACTGCTAGAACCAGTAAGCTTATCCCACTTTCCTCCAAATGCTCAAGAACGCTTACATGAGAATCTCCCTTTATTTTATTGCTGTAATAACAACCCCTGAAGAGGGTTAGTCTGAGTCACTAGAGCAATATCACCCATGGCTGTTGGTGGACTTGAACCTGGATCTCCCCAATCCCAGCCCAAAACCTTCATCACTACACTTGCTTTCTTCTGCTATAAATGAAAAGCTTTATGCCTACACTGTAGAATTTCCAGGAATACAGTACAACTGATTTAAGTGACAGATAATAGATTTATAAATGTGAGGCTCATAAGCATTGTGTGGAAAGTAGCTGAAATGCCCAACCTTTGATCTGGCTTTTCTTTGAAGCTGAAGAAATTGCATAAGATGGTATGATAGCAGAAGGGCAAAATACCTAGTCCAATACACAGATCTGCAATTCCCCACGAGAATATCACTGCATCATTTAGCAGTACAGTTGTGGGGAGGGAGACACAAACAATTGCAGAAAAGTGCTGCATCATTGAGCAGCCTCATTTTGCAAAGAAAAAAACACTATAGTAAGAATACAAGTAGCCACCTGCAAGCATGCTGAAAAAAAGGTGGTGGTGTAGGAGAAAGTACAAAGAACACAGGCTTCATGTTTTGAACTGAATATCGTCCTTGGAGAACTTCAGCTCTTACACAATGGAACAGAAAACTGTCTCTTTCTTAACAATGTTTGCTTTGCCTTAGCAGGAGCTGGTGGAGCAAGAGGACTTGTGCCTGGAAGAGGGGTTGGCGGCCTAGTTCCTGGTGCTGGTGGTGTTGGAGGCCTGGTTCCTGGTGCTGGTGGTGTTGGAGGCCTGGTTCCTGGTGCTGGTGGTGTTGGAGGCCTGGTTCCTGGTGCTGGTGGTTTTGGAGGTCTGGTTCCTGGTGCTGGTGGTGTTGGCGGCCTGGTTCCTGGTGCTGGTGGTGTTGGAGGCCTGGTTCCTGGTGCTGGTGGTGGACTTGTGCCTGGCATTGGAGGAATCCCAGGAGCTGGAAGTAAGTAATTCTATATGCCAACACTTATTACCAGCTATATTCGTTTTATTATTCTCAGACACATTAGTATTTCTTTGAGAACACAGCAGAATTTCTGATCAGCATAATACAAGGCAACTAAGCTAAACCATTGAAATGCCCTTAGAAATTTAATTAATAATGGCAAGGAACAAAACAAGTTCCCCAGCAGCATAAATATTTCTGGCAATAGCAAATATTTACCTATCCTCCTAAGAGCTAATCGGAGAGGATCAAGGAAGCCTTAATAGCAAAGAATTCCATAACTAAGGCACCCCCTCCAAGATTGTTTCTATTTTCCTATTTAGAAATGCTGAAATGCAAATTCTATTCAGGTATTTGGCAAGCTGTATTGCAAGTCAAAGCAGTGTTATTCTGTATTACCTTTGGGATTTTGATTTTCAAATACTGCTGCAGGAAATCCAGGAAAAGACGGGATTGTTTATAGTAGCAATCTCAGCAATTTTAAAATACATGGGCTTCAACTTCCAGACATTCCCAGCCAGAAAACCAGTTTGAAGTTTGCATCTCTTAGAGTTTCTGAGATTAGAAACACTGGTTTATAGAAAAAAATCAGAGATCCATCAGTGAAAACTGTGACAAAGAAATATGGCTTGTATACTGTTTTTAGCCTTTTCATTGTTGTTATTAAACACATGGTCAGTGGTGTTTCAAAAGATTGGTAGATCTGCCTGTCAAAACCAAAATCAAAGCAAAATCAAATAAAAACCAAATCAAATGAAATCCAAAGCAAAACAAAGCAAAATCAAACCTTACCAAATCAAGCCAAGACAAAACAAAAGATAAGACGATGGACATGTGCAGATCTGTACATTGCAGATCTGTACATTGGGCAAACAAAACAACCACTTCATATACGCATGGCACAACATAAGAGAACAAACCTATCAGAACAAGATTCAGTAGTCCATCTGCATTTAAAAGACAAAGGCCACTCTTTCGAAGCCAGCAAAGTCCACATTTTGGACAGAGAGGACCTCTCATTTGAAAGGGGGGTCAAAGAGGCCATCTGTGTCAAAATTGAACAGCCTTCTCTCAAAGAGGGGGAAGGATACAATATCATCTATCTCCAGTCTACAACAGTCCTTTCAGCAGTTCCAAGAAGGCTCCACACCCATTTGCACTATTCAGGTGACCTTGAGGACACAGATAAACCTCCAAGTGGCCTCAACGACTCTCTAAAAGAATGCAAATGACCAGCCATCTGCAAGGAATATAAATCCTTTCATTCCCCACCATTCAGTCAGAGCTGAAGAAGCTTCTTGGATGAGAAGCAAAACATCTTCAAAGAAAAACAAGAAAGTCCAGTTGCCTCTTGAAAAAGCATCTTTGGGACAACCATGATCTGGATGACGGCAAACCTTTTAGAGACCGAGTGCCCAAACTGCAACCCCAAATCCACTTATGCATTGTTGGGTGCCGGGTGGGTGTGACCCATTGGGTGGGCTTGGCCCATTGGGTGGGCGTGGCTGTGGTGATAACGGCATACTGGGTGGGACTAAAAAGTTCAATCAATCAATTCCAACTTTGAAAGATCTTTCTTTTTCCCGCGAGAAGTTTAAATTGACAGATTGAACCTTTTTTTTTTTTTTTTTGCACACGCTGGCAGAGGCCTAAAGCAAAAAGGTTTTATAAAACCCAGCTGAAGTCCTAGCACTGGGGCGATGGTGTGCGTGCCCACAGAGAGGGCTCTGAGTGCCACCTCTGGCATCCGTGCCATAGGTTCGCCACCACTGCCATAGACTGTAAATGAGTCCATCCACCTGGCTCCTGACTGGGAAATTCTGGTAGTTGAAGTCCACACATCATAAAATTGCCAAGATTGAGAAGCACTGCTTTAATGAGATATTAGAGATTTGAACTTTGCTCGCATTCTGATTGCTTAATTCTTCTGTTCTTCTTTCTCCTAATACCTTGAATAGCTGCTGCAGCAGCGAAAGCAGCCGCCAAAGCAGCCAAATATGGTGAGTTTGGTCTGCATCCATCCTTACTTAAGCTAGCTTTTCTTGGGAAATATAATTTTTTCTCTTTGTAATCCAGTTAACAAAAGGCTCTGCACCTTTTCAGAATAAATGCCAAATTGACAAGATCAATTATGAGTTCCTCTATTCCACAATGCCATTTCTGAATTGGGCCAAGGGCAGAAATTAGGAATTTATTTTGATACCCTATATAGGGAAAGTGCACACCTTAAGGCTATTAGGGCTGCATGTGGCTTCTGGAAGCTTTGAATGGGGTTCTCAGAACCATCTAAAATTTGCAACTGAATTATCACTTTTGGAAGTAACTGGCAGGGAACATTATTAATTGTGATGGTAATTAATGTATGTTATCTTATTGAAATTAAATATAAATTTAATTTAATTTTTGCATGGAGTCCCTCCTTTGTACATCTTGCCCTTGAGTATTTTAGGATTGGGGTAGCTGCATCACTTCAATCAGAAAGGTTCTTGTTGGTCACTATTTCATTGGTGGGGAATGAGGTGGGAAAACTTGTCTTGCACAAGCACCAAACCAATTGATAATGACAGTGTCAAGTGACAGCCTGTCTGGGTCAGAAGGAGATACAGTAACACAAAGAAAACTTTCAGATATATGATTGCATAAAAAGCACGGCTTTTTAACACATTATCGGTATTCATGTATGAATCAGTTACACGGATTCATACACGCACAAAGAAATTAAAAGCAAGAGCAAAGGGGAGATACTGCCATTTTAGGATTTCTTAAAAACACTCCTTGTTAAGCTGGAATATAACAGGAGTAGAACACCTATGTCAGGCATATCAAAGTTGCGACGTCATGTGACATCGCGCGACATATCGGGACTTTTTCCCCATTGCCGGCAATGGGGTGGGCGCGGTTTCGACGTAACACATCCGGCCCATGGGCCAGCAGTTTGACATGCCTGACCTATGTGAAACTATCTAAACCTAACAGTGGAGATGAAAGGCCAGAATGGGAAACATCTGATCTTTTTCTTTTCCTCTTTTCCTCTTATTTAATATTGTCTGTACCTCAATTAAAAAAAAATCAAACTCATTATACGTGGTACAACAGGTTTCGTGCCAGGAGGTGGCGTCCTTCCTGGAGGTGGCGTCCTTCCTGGAGGTGGTGTCCTTCCTGGAGGTGGCGTCCTTCCTGGAGGTGGCGTTATACCTGGAGGTGGTGTCCTTCCTGGAGGTGGCGTTATACCTGGAGGTGGCGTCCTTCCTGGAGGTGGTGTCATACCTGGAGGTGGCGTCATACCTGGGGGCAGACTTCCTGGTGCAGGTCTGTGCTTCATTGAGTACAAGTTGTCCTTAACTTATAGCAATAGCACTTAGACTTATATACTGCTTCACAGTGCGGCTTTACAGCCCTCTCTAAGTGGTTTATGGAGTCAGCATATAGCCCCAGCAATCTGGGTCTTCATTTTATGGAAGGCTGAGTCCACCTTGAACTGGTCAGAATCGAACTCCTAGCAGTCGGCAGTCAGCATGCAATACTACATTCTAACCACTGTGCCACCATGGCTCTGACCACAATTGGGATTGGAATTTCAGTGACTGAGTGATACAGTTATTAAATGTCATCATGTGACCAAACCCAAGTTCATGACCATTTTTATCATGATTCTTAAGCGAACGTCAAAGTCATTAAGTGAACGACAAGGTCATTGAGCAAATCTGGCTTCCCCAATTGACTTTAGACGCTGCAACTATTGGAAATTTGAGTCAGTTGCCACATACCCAAGTTGTAATTATGTGAATGCAGGATTAGTGGGAAAATCATAACTTTGAGAATGGGTTGTAAGTCACTTTTTCCTAGACCATTGCAACTTTGAATCATTGTTTAAAAATGGTTGAAAATCAAGGACTACCGGTACCTGTAATCCTCAGATTTTCCTGAGACAGGAGTAATTTCCTAGAGAATCAGTCCAGTTCACAATTTCCCATTTTGACAGGTGAAAATTATCTCTGGTAAAGGGTTCTGATGGGAATTATTTCCTCTTATCTCACAGGCATTCCCATAATTGGAGGACAAACAGGAGTCAAACCACCTAAATACGGTATCTCTGCAGAATGAAAAAAAATGCTTGTAATTCATCATGTTAACTCCTCGAAATAGGTACAGACCAATATGTCTATGAAAGGAAGAGAAAGTGAAAGAGAGAAAAAGAGAGAGAATGAGAGGGAGGGAGGGAGCACAAAAGGAAAAAAAAATCAGCCCAGAACAGGAAAAACAATCTTTTGGGAGTGAGTGGCACATTTAGCTTTGAGAAGGCCAAGGAGCATAATGGGTGAGAGGATGATGCAAAATAAATGTTTTTTTTTGTTTTTTTTTGTTTTTTTTGCTGTTACTCAGAACTAGATTAGAATAAAGTTACTTTTGGTTTATGCAATTTCTGCATACATTAACTGCATAGGACTGATCCAAAATGGCACTTCTTAGCCACCGACATATTCATCTGGATACATTCTAGCAGGAAGCTGTCCTGCTCAGGCCCTACCAAAACAAATGGGATCCCTTCTGTTCTTGCACAGATTTTTTCCCCCTTTATGTATCTGGAGGCAACTCTCCTGACCCAAAGGGCCAAAAGCTTTGCCTTCCCAAATGGTTGCTCTCTGATTTCTTGTACTGGCTCAGAACAACCATTAGGACAAAGTTTCTCATCTTGGCAACTTTAAGCTGTATGGACTTCAACTCCCAGAATTCCCCAGCCAGAGCTCCCAGAGAATTCTGGGTGTTGAAGTCTACACAGCTTAAAGTTGCCACAGTTAAGAAAAACTGCATTAGGGAAAGCAGGCTCTAGACAAAACATCTCTTGAGTGAAAAAAATGGAAAAGTGGATGTAGCTGCCATCTGGGAAGCCTCCAGCCTGCAGGAGAGAAAAGAATTGCCATGGATTCACCATTGAGACTTGCTCCCTGTCTTTGACAGGTATCCCAGGTACTGGATTGGGTGGAACTGGCGTGGCAGGTAAGATGGTTGTCCAAAGTATGGAACTGCTGGAACTGACTTAGGTATTATGGCTCAGTCTTTAGCTATAGGGGCTGAGCCTGGATTCTTCCTGACTCCAGAATATGCAGAGTTGTCAATACGAGAAAAGGATGCAACACAATATGTTTGGCAGGGTGTGATGAATGAAAGCAATTAGGATCTGTCACACAGATTCTGTTGCTATAAACTTGAAGAATTTTCTCTAGCCCAGCTGAGCTGTCAGGCATTTGACCTGCAAGGCCCAATGTTATTCCCCAGGCCATATCAAACTGTCCTGGAAGTCTGCTCTTTAATTGGAGGATCAGATTCCCAGAATAGAGGCAGTGCCAAATGTCCTGCTTTGGTTCTCAAATGGCCACCATGAATGTTGATCACCTCCCTGACTTTGACTTCATCTTCTCCTATTGGGATTGCCAACATTTATGTTCATACTATTAGTTACCTGTTGTTCCTTAGACTAACCCATAACTCTTCTCAGATCTCCTAGAATGGATCATCAAGTGGATCCTGTAGGTCCTCTTAGAACAGTTGGCCCAGTACTCTGCTATCTAAATTAGGATTAGCCAAGGCCAAAAGAGGCCTCTCTTAGATGTGCTTGAACGGCAAACTGGGTTTTAGGATGTTCAGGACTAGCAACAATTGGGTAGGACACATTCAGGATTTCTATAGGGCTTTGATAATTATCATTTCACACCATTAGCTTCTAATGTTATGCTGACCACAGAAGGCCCTAGCCCAGAACTGTTTGATATTTTGGACTACAACATTCACATGTCCTTGCTATTGGCTCTGCTGGAAGGGATACATGGGAATTTAAATCCAAATCATCTGAAGAATCAGGAAAATTTCTGACTTTTATGCTATTAGTACTGTAGCCTCTAGTGGGCTTCTTCAACTCTTATTAATACTAAACAGATTAATTAATTCAGATATGGATTAATTCGCCAAGATTTAAACCAAGTGTTTGGCAATTCTTAATGTAACTTAAATTCACTATCCTTTTTTACACATAAAAAATTAGCATTAATTCTCTTCAAGATCCTTCCTGGTAGATTCAAATGCAATCAGTCCAAAAGACAAATTTTCCCTATTGCATTTCAACTTGATATATGGTTTGTTTCTGATGGAGATTTTTTTAAAAAAAAAAAAAAAACAGGCATTGGAGGAGGATTCGGAGTCCCCGGACTGGGAGGAACCGGTTATGGAGGTGGTGCCGGAACCGGAGGTCTGATCCGCAGTGGGCAAAGATGCTTCTGATGGGATGCAGGGGGAGGGCAATTCAGGGTGGGAATTATAGCCACATCTGTGTCATCCTGAAACTCAGTGAAATCTTTTCAAAGCTGGAAATGTGGGAATGCACCTGTTAAACTTGGTCCACCATTTTTTAAAAAATAAATAAATAGGGATTTGTAGAAATACTTAGAGATCAGTGTTTCTCAACCTTGATCATTTAAAAATGTGTGGACTTCAACTCCCAGAATTCCCCAGCTAGCATGCCCTATATTTTAAATACTGCTATCAGTTTTAATCATTGTAAGCTTAGATCTATCCTTGAGCAATTTCAAACTTTGCTCCTTGCAATGCAAAATAGAAGAATATGCATTCATGATGTAGGAAGGAAACCTGAGTGACCACAACAGGCTATAAAATTTTCCCCTTCAAAATACCTTAACCCTAATGTACCTATACAACCAATTCAAAATTTTCTTTTTTTAAAAAAAAAAAAGTCCAGTTCTTACTGATTATATCCATGCAGTTTTCTTAGCAGTATAGTAAAATGTTTTTGCCAGCCTTCTCTAGGGCTGCTTTAAAAAAAAAAAATTCCAGTCTAGTGACTAACTTTGGTATTAACAAGTAATTGCCATCCACATACTAACCAGCTTCCAAGATCAGTCAAATCAGAATTGGTTTACAACCAGCTAAAATAATTACAACAATTCTATTAAGTAAATGAGGGAGGTATCTTTCTCCCTATCACCTTTCAGCCTTATTACACTCATAGGTAGAGCTCACCTCTGCCTCCAACCTCAAGTGACAATATCTTTATTTATTTAACATATTTCTATGATGCTGCAATCCTAAAAGACTCTCGGAGGCTTAAATAGAACACATTCAGACTACAAACATCTGGGATAGAATAAAACAACTACAAACATGATAAGACTAAATATTAGAATAACAGAGTTGGAAGGGATCTTGGAGATCTTCTAGTCCAACCCCCTGCTCAAGCAGAACTTTGTCCAGTCTCTTAAACGCTTCCAGTGATGGAGCACAACTTCTGAAAGCAAGCCATTCCATTGATTAACTGTTCTGTCAGGAAATTTCTCCTTATTTCTAGGTCATTCTCTCTTTGATTAGTTTCCATCCGTTGCTTCTTGTCCTGCCCTCAGGTGCTTTGGAGAATAACTTGACTCTCTCTTCTTTGTGGCAGCCCCTGAGATATTGGAACACTGCTATCATGTCCCCCCTAGTCCTTCTTTTCATTAAGCTACTAGACATACCCAATTCCTGCAACTGTTCTTGATACGTTTTAGCCTCCAAATAGCATAAATAGAAATAAAGATGGCAAAGTTCAGATCAAGGGAAAGTTTTCTGAAACAATTCAATTTTTAAAAGTTTCCAAAGCAGCACTGCCTTGCTCCCCCCCTTCCCTACCTCTCTCACAGAGAGGGGGGGGGCTTTATAGGTCAGCATTTTAAATTGGACCTGGAAACCAACTAGCAGTCAGCAAAACCAGTGTAATTTGCTCCCAATATGAGTCTAAAAGGATTTGGGCAGCTGCATTTTGGACCAGTTGTAGTTTCTGAATACACTCTAATAACAGCCCCAAGTAGAATACCTTATGGTAATTAAACCAAATGGCCATAAGAGAAATTACTCATTTTTCTCTCATTCTGTTATACAAGATTGCAGTATCCAGGGGATGGTGAAGTCCCAAACCAGATAATAAGAAAATAGGATGTTTACCAACAGGGGAGGAAGCATAGATGGCAGAAGGGAAAGGAGGCTCAGAGTTCAAGTGACACCCAAATCTCCAAGAATGGAAAACGAAAGATCCTCATAAAGGACTTTTTTCTCATAGAAGAAGTTGTTCATGCTCAAAGTTCACAAAAGATGTGAGATTTTGCAATAGCTCATTCCTATTTATCCTCAGTCTACACTTTTATAACTTGATAAATCATTCTACCATGCATGGGTAGTTGGAAACGTACTTATTTAAGTCAGTATTTCTCAACCTTAGCCATTTTAAGATGGATGGATTTCAACTCCCAGGATTCCCTAGCAACATGCTTTAAGGTGGGTGGGTGGGTGGACTTCAGTTTCCAGAATTCTCCAGCCAGGAAGGAATTCTGGGAGCTGAAGTCCGCTCATCTTAAAGATTGCTAGCTGGTGGATTCTAGAAGTGGAAGTCCACCCATCTTAAAAGTTGTCAAGGTTGAGAAACATTGATTTAAGTTATATCAATGATCACCGTGAGATTGCCCTTCTAAAGAGCTATTTTTATTGTTTCTGCGGGTTCCAGTGCTGGTGTTCGAATTGCTGTTGAGTCAATGGAGAAAAATACCATCCTTTCCTATGATTGAACAAGGTCTTACCTTTCTTCTGACTCTCAGCCATGGTGATAGAAAGATTGAGCATGTTCAGAGACCTACAGATTCTTTCCATCTTCCCACATTTGTTCCAACATAGTGGATTATCTTGTGTATTGTTTCCTTAAGGACAAACAAATTCCTGCATTTCTCTTTCTTCCTTTTAACTAGAGGAAGAAAAAAAAATATCCAAGTTTATATAAAATAATATACCAGAGAGCTGTAAATTGGAATGGAATTCAAGAGTCAATGTTCTACCAAAAGATAACATGTTAGTTAGATAGTGGGATCTGAAGCTTTGACAGGCCCACAGCTACACTTGTGTGATGCTACGTGGGCTGAAAAACTCCACAAAGATGTCAGGAGACACACCGGCTGGGTTTGCATGTGCTTGTCTATAGCTTAGCTTAATCACAATTTATTCAGCTAATCCAAGCTTTTCGAATCACATTAAACAACTGTAGCATAAGCTGACCACATGGAAGGATACAACCAGCATACAATGCTGAAACACAGTTGGCTAACTTTCAGTATGTTGTTTGAAACACTGCTTTTGGTACTCTAACTGCAAGAGTCCTCTTTATATATGTGCAAAATCTTTGGCTGCCTCAGTTCTCCAATACTTCATTTAACTATGTGAATCAAGTGTCCTCTATGCTTGTCCCTTCAAAGTCTTTTCATGCTTTCTCCTACCTGTTCCCCTCTATTGCAGCAACTGGCCCTGGCTTTGGATTATCTCCTATTTACCCAGGTATGTTGTCGAGGGAAGGACTCAGGTCCTGGCAGACCCAAATGCCAGAAGGGGCTCTGGGCTGAATAATCCTTGACAGGCCAGAGTAGCCAACCTGTGACCTGAGGGCAATGATTAGCAAATGGTGCTTTTTACCCAGTGACCGTACTACCTAAGTAACATTAATTTTTGTTATTAACAAAGCAATGCCCCTTCAAAATCCTTGCAGGAGTTATTAGTAAAGAAAATAGACTGGCCCACTTGACATGACACTCAAAGCATAATGGCCAGGTTTCTCATAATCTATTAAACCTGAGTTAATGAGACAACTGCCATATTCATATCATGTGCTCTCAAATCCATGGCTAGTTCAACCCACATTGGCTGCATTCCCACAATTCACAGAGCCAGAAACTACTTCATTTTCACTGAGTATATGTTGCAGTTTCTTCTATTTTAGCTTTGCATGTTGTATGGAACCAGCCATTTGTGTTTACATCATGGTTCAGCAAATGATGGCTTACTGCAATGCATGAATCCAGCCACTGACAAAGACGTGCTTTAGATGAGCTCATTTTTCTGAGGGATTCTTAGCATAGTGGGAAGGGGGGTGGTGACTAAAAAGGGGTAACAGAAATGCTAACAAGGTTTTCTCTCTCATTTGGGATTCACAGGTGGAGTTGTACCTGGTTATGGAGGTAAGAGCAGTACTTTAGGGGGAGGAAAGTGCAAAGGATAGTCCAGAAATTAACTGGTTAACTAGCCTTGAATGAACCCCCCCCCTTTTTTTTTCTCTCACTCTACATAGGTAAACCTCCCAAGCCCTATGGAGTCCTGGGGGCACTTGGCTACAAAAGTAAGTGGCCCTATAGCTTGGACTGATAACTTGTTTGAGAGCTACTATTTCTTGTCATTTCCAAAACTGCCATGCACAGAGATAGTCAGAAATAAGATGACAGGGCAGCTGATTGGCTGATCTGATTCTAGCAGGATGGATTTGGTGCTCTATCCAGTTAGCTGGAGAATGCTTGAGCACCTCTGACCCCTGTTCATCAGTAATCGTCTTCTGAACCAGTGAAGGCAATTGTTGGGGATCCTCAGGAGAGGTCCAGGAGTAGCTGGTGGGAGTTTGACCCTGCTTAGTTTCCAAGCCCAGAGCAGATTCTACCAGGTACTATTCCATGCCATAAAAGCTGTCTACTATAGGTTTCAATACCAAAATCCAAAAACAAACTTCTTATTTGTGCCTAATGGTTTTGCTGTTTAAATTCCAGAATCATCAGTTAAATAAATCACACTAACCCACAAACACAACAAAGAACATTAATGTTATTCAAGCTGTATGCATGGAGTTCTTGGTACCCTTAGCTTGGTTGGATGCTTGGTTATGGCACTGGTGAAGCTACTTAGTTGGGTAAGGAAATACCTGCAAACAAATAACTAAGATCAGAGAGCACCAAGGCGGCCACAGTTCAGCCTTGAGCTGCACATATTTTTCTTCTACTGGAAGTTGAACATGTCCAAATAAAACAACTAAGTCTTCAATGAACCCGGTTAAGAATGTTGCATCCACCCAGTCAAGATCAGAATCCCCAGGCCCATTTCTGGGTTGGCAAGTCCCCTTGGCCCCTGTCAGCCACCTGCTGGATTGCTTGGTCATTCTGTCTCTCTCTTCTGTTTTCAGGAGGAGTCGGCCGGAAGAGGAAGTAGCCCAGACAGCCTACCATTCACCTCATGAACTTTGGTGCTACTGCCTGGTCTCGAATGTACCCCCCCACCCCCGAGAAAAGCAGAGATTCCACCACCGCTGCTGCCAACACAGCCCCATGCCTTGCCACCCCCGGCTGGCCCCCCCTCCCTCTCACTGGTGCTACAACCATCCCACAGGGAGCGTCCCTGCCTTCAGCTCCCTGGGGCCCTTTGGTGCTGCAGCCTAGGAGGGCTGCTTTCAGAGGGGGCAGCCTGAGCACTTTAACCCACTCCTGAGCCCCGCGCCCACAAGTGGGGGGACAGGAGCCGTCGGCCAGCTGGCCTGCTTCTTTCCTGGTCTATCTCTGCTGGCTCCTCTTTGGATCTAAGTGTGTGGGGGGGACGCCCCTAGTTTTGCCATGAGCCCCTTGCCAGGCCATTCTTCCCTTCCCCCTGAACACACTGCCTCCGTTTGGAGGGGAGCAGCTCAGGCCAAGCTGTCAGTGCCAATGGGATTAGCCTTAATCCTGGAGCTTCTGCTGGCTGCCAGGCCTGGGTGGATTAGCACGGCCAGGCCACAGGATCCATACCATACCTAACGTGGGCGCCAGCATGACATCGTCCAGCTCCCAATGAACGGGCTGGCCAGGGACCCCTGTACATGACCAGCCAACCTGCTCCACATCTTCATGTTTAATCACTTTGATGTAACTGGGATGGGACACTTTTTATAAAGAAGAACAGTAACTGCTTTCCAAAAAATAAAATAAATAAAACCTGACTAATAAATAATGTTTTAAAGGTAATCTCTCTCTCTCTTTTTATTTCTCTTGTTCTTTTCAGAAAAGATAGTCGTCCTTGACTTACATCCATACATTTAGTGACTGTTCAAACAGCACTCAAAAAAGTTACTTACAATCAGTCCTCACCCTTGCAACTATAGTAGCATCCCCAGGGTCATGTGATCAAAATTTGGGTGCCTGACAACCTGGATGTATTTACAGTGGTTGCAGCATCCAACACATCATATGGTTGCTATCTGCAATTTTTCTGCACAGCTTCCAACAAGCAAAGTCAATGAGGGTAATCGCATTCATTTAACAACCAGAAGATTCACTTAACAACTGTGGCAAAAAAGGTAGTAAAATCAGGCGCAACAACCACCTTGCTTAGCAATGGAAATTTTAGTCTCAGTTGTACTCATAAGTTGAGGACTATCTGTATTGACTCACCTGATTAGATCTGGACCTAATTTCCCAATAGCCTTGATAGCAGAATACAGTTGCTTACCTCCAGCAACTCTGAGGCTATGTTTTATCCTTGACTTAAACAAAGCAAAAACCACCCACCTAATGTGAATATATTTATCTGTTATTGTTGACTTTTTTTATAAATTACATTCAAGATTATAGCTACTATTGAAAATATCAACTCCAGGTTTCACCTTATACTTCAGTTAATTAATTAATATCTTAATAGAATTAAGATTTTAATTCTATTAATATCTGAGCCCTTCTTATTAGAATAAATTACTCTAAATGTGTTAGAGCATGTTTATCCTGATTATCAAACAATGCATTTTCTGGGTTAGCAGAATATACTGGGCAAAACCTAAACAAACAGGCAGGATATACACAGCATATACTTCTTACTGTTTTCTTTGACCAGGTGACAAAATTTGTGGACCAGAGAAATGCTGTTAATATAATTTACTTGGACTTCAGTAAGGCATTGATAACCTACTACTTGGTAAGATAGAAAAATGTGGGTTAGACAGCATCACCACCAGATGGATTCGTAACTGGCTGACCAATCACATTCAACGTGTAGTCCTCAACAGAACTCATTTACATGGAGGGAAGTATTCAGGGGGGTACCACAAGGCTCTGTTTTAGGCCCAGAACTCTTCAACATATTCATCAATGATTTGGATGAGGGGATAGATGGGGAACTCATCAGATCTGCAGATGACACCAAGCTGGCAGGAATAGCCAACACTCCAGAAAACAGGCTTAACATACAGAAGGATTTTGACAGGCTTGAACATTGGGCGCTATCTAACAAAATGAAATTCAATGGTGAAAAAAGTTCTACATGTAGGCAAGAAAAACCAAATGCACAGATATAACATAGGTGGTACCTTTCTTAACAGTAGTAACTGTGAGAGGGATCGTGGAGTCCTAGTGGACAATCACTTAAATATGAGACAGCAGTGTGCTGCAGCTGCTAAAAAAGCCAATATAGTTCTAGGCTGCATTAACGGGGATAGAATCAAGATCAGGTGAAGTATTAATACAATTTTATAATACCTTGGTAAGGCCACACTTGGAATACTGCATTGAGTTTTGGTCACCACAATGTAAAAAAGATATTGAGACTATAAAGAGTGCAGGGAAGAGCAAAAAAGATGATTAGGGGACTGGAGGCTAAAACATATAAAGAATTGGGTTTGTCTAGCTTAATGAAGAGAAGAACTAGGGGTGACACGATAACAGTCTTCCAGGAGTTGCCAGAAAGAAGAGGGGGTCAAGCTATTCTTCAAAGCACCTGAAGGCAAGACATGAAGCAATAGATGGAAACTAATCAAGGAGAGAAGCAACCTAGAACTAAGGAGAAATTTTCTGACAGTTTCTTCTTCTTCTTCTTATGCCATATCCGTTATCGGATGCTGGCGATCATGTTGGCGATCCTGTTTTTATCAGCCGCCACACAAAAAAGTGCTGCTGAGTTTTGTCCAAACCAATCCCTTAGATTTTGAAGCCACAATGTTCTTCTTCTGCCTGGACCTCGTTTGCCTTCAATCTTTTCTGACAGTTAGAACAATTAATCAGTGGAACAACTTGCCTCCAGAAGTTGTAAATGTTCCAACACTGGAAGTTTTTAAAAAGAGATTGGACAACCATTTGTCTGATATGGTATAGGATTTCCTGCCTGAGCAGGGGGTTGGACTGGAAGACCTCCAAGGTCCCTTCCAACTCTATTCTATTCTATTCTATTCTATTCTATTCTATTCTATTCTATTCTATTCTATTCTATTCTATTCTATTTTTGGCTCAGGTGTTGGGGCCAGAATGAGTTCGTGCCTGCAGAATCATAATAAATGTCATTCCTTAATCATCAATCACTAGTTGTTCATTGATCTTAACCAAAATTATTTCATTTTTGTATGGTTTATTGTATACCACCCAGAATTGCAGGGGATACAAGGGGAGGGGATACAAATTTCTCCAATGAATGTTACGTATTCAGTAAATTGGTCTTTTAATGCAAATCTACCCATGGCTCATGACTTTATCTTTTTTTTTAAAAAAATGTATATGTGAAGTGGAGGGTTTATAGTGACTAATAGGCATTATAAGTAATTGGAACCACATGTTTTAGGGCAACATATCTGAATAGTTGATGCTGGGAACTGATAAACATTTTTTGTCTTATGGACTTTCCTGAAGTTTCTGGTTGGTCATGACTGGAAGTAGAATTTATATATTGCCTTTTCATATAAAGGATCCAGTCGATAGCATGATACATTTTTATCAGGTTTTATTCCTATGTAATCTTGAATAGAGTCTAATTCTATTGGCTTTCAAAGGCCAATAGGAATTGTCCAGGCTGTCTCTGCCATGCTGAGCTCGCCAAAAGTCCCATTCTGCAAACGGTGCTGCACCAGTTGAGTAGTCCTCGACTTACGACTGGTTGAGTAGTCCTCGACTTACGACCGGTTGGGGGGTCGCGGCATTAAAAAGGTTGAGAACCACTGCTGTAAATGAATTTTGTGAGCTCAGCCTACATGTGGCTTAAATCTTTTTTTATTTTTATTTTTTAATTTATTGAATAACAAAAAATTAAAAACATTGAACGTGGTAAGTCAGCATTTGACAAACATCTCAATTCATACTGACATTAATTACAGACAGAACTCTTTACAATAACATCCTTCTAATTTCGATCTTGACTTATCTCATTACAATAACTTCCCTATTTTGGGGGTTTTTTCCCCACCATCTATAGAATTTGTTCCATATCTGGTAAAAATCTGTTTCATCCTGATTTTTTAGTCTTTTAGTTAACCTGTCTAATTCTGCGCAATACATAATTTTCTGAATTAAAATTTCTCATGTGGCTTAAATCTTTAATGGTCCTGCTTCTTCATAATTCTGGGACCATCTCCAGTTCTGAGGGTGTACCTGGGACTTACTGTACTTACTTTCCATAGCCATTCACTACACCAGGAACTACGCAGGAAATTTAACTGCAGTTAACTCTAACAAATAAATTCAGCCTAGCTAAGTCAAATCATATACAGGTAGTCCTTGACTTACGACCGCAATTGAGCCCACAGTTTTCATTGCTAAGCAAGGCAGTTGTTAAGTGAGCTGACCTTTGACCTTTCTTGCCATAGTTGTTAATCAATTCACTGCAGTTATTAAATGAACCCTGTGGTCATTAAGAAAATCTGACTTTATGTGTCAGAAGCCAACTGGGAAGGTTACAAATGGTGATCACATGACCCTGGGGCAGTACAGCTGTCATGTAAAATACATGCCAGTTACCAAGTATCCAAATTTGGATCATGCGATGGTGGGGATGCTACAATGGTCGTCAGTGTGAAAAATGGTCCTAAGACACTTTTGTCAGTGTTCTTGTAACTTCAAACCATTACGAAACAAATGGTTATAAGTAGGGGACTACCCGTATTACAAATAAGCATGCTGTGTGAAGTTGAATATCATGTATTTCTTTTAGTTTAATCTATCTGGAAGGATTGTTGTGAAGGTGCAAAAGGGGAACACTCTATTAGTACAGATTACAGGTAGTTCTCTACATACAACCACAACTGAGCCCAAACTTTCTATTGCTAAGGGAAACATTTGTTAAGTGAATTTTGCCCCATTTTATGACCTTTCTTGCCACAAATGAATCACTGCGGTCGTTAAGTTAGTAACATGGTTGTTAAGATTTGGGAGCTGAACCAAAGCCTTGAAATCAGTTGCAAAAACTGATCACACGAGCCTGGATACCGCAACCATCATAAATATGAACTAGTTGCCAAGCATCCAAATTTTGATCACTTGACCATGGGGATGCTGCAATGGTCGTAAAGTATGAAAAACAGTCATAAGTCACTTTTTTCAGTGCTGTTGTAACTTTGAATGGTCACTAAATGAACTATTGTAAGTCGAGGACTACCTATATGGGGGGGGGGGCGAGAGTGGAAGTGACAACTGCTAGAGAGAGAAAAAAAAACTTTTCCCCAAATGCACACCTTCCTCACCCTGAAACCGGCCGCAGGGCTTTTCTTCCACGCAGCCCAGGAGTTGTCCTGGCTTCAGCGAAGCCAAGCAGGCCTTCAGGGACAGCCTGGACGATCCGGGCTTCCCCCCTTAAAGTACGGTAAGTTGCTTTCGTAGCTCGGAGGAGATCGATTTTCCCACCCCCTCCATCCCAACGAGTTTTTCTATCTTCTATATAGAAGTGCCTCTAGGCGCTCCGCAGCCGCACTCGGCGGACTGATCCCCGGATCCTCGCACCCTCTTCCTCCGCCAAGGCCGAGCGCGGCGCGTGGCTCCGAACGCCGACTGGCCGCAAGCCCGGGACATCCCTCCCCTCCCCCAGCCACGAGCTCCTGCAGCCGGCGAGCGGGGAGGGGCCAGGCCTCCAGGCATTGGCTCGCCTGGCGCTCTGCATTGGCTGGAAGGGAAGGGGGGGGGTCTGCTGGCTCGCTCGCTCTCCGGTTTAGACCCGCCTCCCTCCCCCCGCCCCATTTTCCCAGCGCTGCCTCGTAGTCGGCCCGGGTGAGTCTGCAGCCGGCGTAGTCAGCCCGGTCGCCCGCCCTGCCCCCTCCGTTGCGCCGCCGGGCCGGAGGTGGAGACGCCGCCGCCGCCGCTGCCCGCCGCCGCCGCCGCCGCCGTGCTGCTACTGCTACTGCCTGTCCGGGCCAGGCGGGGGCGGTTGCATGAGGTTGATGCTGCTGTGCTGCACTTGGAGGGACGAGCCCATGGGAGAGGACGAAGGTGGGTCGGGAGATTCCCCTGCGCCTCCTACCTCAACCACCGGCCTGCTTCCTCGGGGAGGGGGAGCGATCTCTTGACCACTGCATCCTCCGCAGGTGACCTTGAGTCCCGCCGGGAGCTGGGCTGCCTGACCCTTGCTGCATTACACGCAAGACGCGCGCAAGCAGGCATTCGCACGTGAAACCACTAGCGATCTCTCGATGCGCTCCCCCCTCCCGCTGTGCCTTGCGGGTTGGGGGGGAGGGAGTGGGGACTTGGCAGGCCCATGACGGAGAGATGCCCTTGGCACGCCGAAAGGGGACCTTGACGCAATCCCCCCCCCCATCTCCGTTTCTTCCCCTACCGCCTCCCCACACTCATCTCCCAATTTAATTTGTACCCAGGTTCGCCGTCTCGAAACTACTTTTAGTCACAAAACTAAAAAAAAATGTAGGGGTCCCTGCGAGCACGTATAGAATGCGTTTTCTTCTCTCGTTCAGCCACGTAATTCCTACTTCGGATACTTTCCAACTCAAAAAAAAAAAAAGGCAATATATGAGGACGAACGTACAAAATAAAAAAAATCTATTTCAAATCCCCCATCATCCCGTGGGTGCTGTCCAGGGTGCTGCCTGATCTTAATCTCCCGATGCCATTTCCCTACCAAGAACAAATGACCTCTAGTTAACCAAGGGCCAGGGGGGGAAATCCTTGAATGAGCTGGATTGTGGGATCAATTCTCACCCCTAATCTTTTATTACATGTTTGTAACAGGATGCTTTAAATGGTATTATAACTTTGGAACTAATTCTCCCCTTTCAGACATTTTTCTTTGTACTGTGTACTGTAACTTATACTGTAACATAAGAGCTGGTTTAAAATGATACCTTTAATAAGATGCAGATCTACAGCAGGGCTGGTTTTTTCCTTTAGTGCTCCTTCATTCTTCCCATCCTTTGTGACCCCATGCTGAAATAGAGAATTTGGGGCAGGAATTATTGCCATTTATATGAAGTGAAGCAAGGACAGGTAACTCTGTACATGCTTCAAGATACTTTAGCTCTTGAGGTAGATGATTAGATCCACCACCAAGTGCACTTTTGGAGGTTTTATTTCCCATTTTTGTGACTGGAAAAAACAAATATTCATAGAGGCCCCTTTGTTTCTTTGCAGCTGTCTTTCACCTTCCCATGCCAGAGGGTGAAGTAGGGGATAATGCTGTTGTTACAGAAATGGAAAATCAATCCTTTTCCACCAGACATTGATCCAAAAGTCAGAAAAGCACCTTCTGCAGAAGGTTGTGGACGTGAAATCCTTTGGGACTGGCAAAATTAACTCTTCCCCTCTGGCAGGCAACTGCTCTCGTTTCATCCCTAAAGAAACAAGGAATATCTATCTATAGTATCTATCCATCCTTCATCTCATTTTACAGAACAAGGGATTCTGGGTGGCTTACAACAAGTTATAGCAAGTTCTCCTTTCTTCACTTTTCTTCTTAAAAGGAGCAGGAGGATAATCATGGCTCTGCTTTGGAGGAAAAAGACACTAAGAAGCTTGAAGCTGCATGCTCAGCTAAAGATTTTTGACAGATAAAACATTTTGCACGTTCTCAGAGACACTGCTTTGCATTAGATTTCCATTCTATATTTTGGCAAGGACTGTCTCAAAAGAATTGAATCTTAGGGATAACCCAGGAGCCTGGGAAGTTGAGAGAGAAAGGACCAACACTTGCACTTTTTAAATCTTAATAGCTAAGTCTGTTGCCAGAATCCAGAGTTTTACCACTCCAGCTGAATTGTCTCTGTAGGCTGCAGCAGTTACCTCTATTACTTCTTTTGTGTTCCCCAGGAAGCGACCTGCCAATATGTGCCAGTTGCAGCCACAGCATCTACGATGGTCAGTACTTGCAAGCCCTGAATGCCGATTGGCATGCCAGCTGTTTCAGGTAGGGGGTCTTTGGGATGGCTGTGGCTTGCAGGGTCTAGAGGGAAGTTTTTGCTACAGAGGCTCATCTCCTTGTCTATGAGAACAAAGGAAGGGGGCATGTAGAGATCCATACTAATGTCAGAATTGCCCACCTGGAACATTCTATGTCATCTACAGTATGATTGTGTAAAGTGAGCAAAAGCACAGATTGATAGATAGCACAGATTGATAGATTGCATGGGTCCTGAAGTTCTCCTTTATTTGTCAGCTCTAAAAGCTCCAACTGATTTACAGGGAAGAGTGGGATCTCTCGTTTTATTTTATTTGAAATAAGGTTGAACTGACAGAGAGCAGCTGGGCCAGATCCATCCAGTGAAGCAACTGATCAAAGATGAATCTGATTCCCCAGGTCTTAGTCAAACAACTACTATTATCACATCAGTGAGCCAAATAGGCTGCTTGTGCTAAACCACAAGCAAGCAAGCAATTGTCCTTAGTATGTTAGCTGGTATAGTCATTAGCCTAATATCTGTTAAAGCCATTCTAAATCAATGATCACCATCATTTCTTGTAGCAGTTTCTAGTGATCAGTACTCTTGATCTGAGTTGTGTTCATGATTGCTCAGTTAGAATTACAGTCCCAACAATGTTTAATCCAATCCTGGATTAAATATTAGCATTGATATATTTTAGCAGAAAAAAGTGCAATTCTACCTTTTTCTGGGAAATAAGTATATTCATGACATCCTAGGTATCAGCCAATCAATGCTTTGCCCAAACTGAACTGCATTTCAAATAAGCACAGCTGCTACTTCAGGCCTTTTGCCTGGGAGAGAGATGTTTTTGTCATGTTAAACACTGAATTTTAAAGCCTGCATGTTAAAGAGACTGTCCAGTTATATCCTAAGTTCTAAACCTGAAAAAAAATGCAACAGTATTTAACTCTTACTGGTATACCCTGGATGTTCCTTTGTTGGATGTGACTTATGCAAAAAGCACCTCAAATTATGTTATAATATTAAACTTAAATTAGGAAGAAGAGATAAGAAATAACAAGCAGATAGTATTTGGGTTTGTGTTATGCAACTTTGCCAGCTATGTTGGCAGGCTTTTGCATTGCTCACCGCAGTAGCAGACATCCCATAGGCCAGCTTGTGGAAGGGTGCCAATAGTTTTGAATTAGAAAGCAGCCTTCACCCTACTCTTACAAGAAAGTAACTTCCATGCACCATTGCTCCATCCGAACAAGGAGGTTAGAGTGCTCCCACTTTTGTGAATGACTGGTGACATCTGCATGACATGTTTAACTGGCTATTTTAGAGTGTTGTGCAAATATTTCTGGATCAGAATCAAGCCCCAAATAAATACCTTCATATAAACCTTGCCTTGAATATAAATACCTTCATATAAACCAGTGTTTCTCAACCTTGACAATTTTAAGGCATGTGGACTTCAACTCCCAGAAGTCCACAGCCAGCAATGCTGGCTGTGGAATTCTGGGAGTTGAAGTCCACATGCCTTAAAATTGTCAAGGTTGAGAAACACTGATATAAACCTTGCCTGTTGTGCAAATGAAGAACAGAGAATTAAATAGAGCTACAAAATCTGATTGACCACTAGATGACAGTCAAGACAGTCTTTTTATTTGTTTGTTGCCTTCCAGTGGTCATCTTTGTGTTTGCATCCCTGTTCTGATAACCCTAAGCTGAATCTCTCTTTTGACCTTGGGACATAGAGATTGAAAAGCAGTCAGGGCTATTTTTTTTTTTCAAGTTTCCTTACTTTTTCCTCCTAAGGGCAAAGTTTGCCATCCCCTGCTGGCTTCAGCCCTGATTTATCACTCTGGGGTTTTTTTGTAGCTAAAAAAGATGTTGAGAAGTACAGCTGCACAGGAGCCTGGGATGCCAGCCAAAATGGCTGCTTCCTATTGAATTGAAGAAGTTGCTGTTTTCATTCATCATCTGCCATTGGATCATCAGGTAGATCACTTTCCTGCAAGCAGAACAGCAGCAGGCTCAGTCTGCTCTTTTATGAATACAGAATGGGGGGGGGGTGTTTCCTGGTCAAGTATATTGTGCAAACCCAGCCTGTTTGTTCACAATCAATAACTTGTGTAAATGCCCCCTGCAGGAAATTGACCAGGTTAAACGTGTAGTGTGAATGCATCACTGAGTCACATAATAGAATCCCTTTTACTCAGAAGTATATCTTAGGTTTCAATGGAATTGATTTGCAGATATCCTCTGTTTAAACTATGAACTGAAGTGTCTGTAGATTAATTGGAGGAACTGGTTAGTTTCAAAGCAGGAACTATGTTTTCAATTGTGGAGATCTGAACCAGGAACACTTTTGCTGCCTGCGGCATGTGAAATGATTTAGGGAAGAGATATTCTCCATCGCAACTAAGGGATAGTCCATTTTTAAATTCTGAACCCTTACATTACGTCTCCCTTTAACAAGCCCTTCAAAATGGGTATGAGATTTTGAATAATATCAAACAAGAGGAGAAGTTTCCCCCCCCCAAAGGCTGATGTGTGAAGTTCATTAGAATCAGTAGACTCCAAATACAAGTAAAGTGTATCATAGATAGTGGAGATGAATAGACAGAAGAACCACCACTGAAGAAGGAGAGGTTCCTTCCTATATTCTGCTGCCTGTATAAAAGAATTGTGCTGGGCTGCTGTATGCAATTGGCAAACTCCAAGCTTTGGAGAAGAGCTTTCATGCTTTAGGAGCTCAATATTTGAGAGAGCACCTCTCCAGGAAAGACTATCAACCCTGACATCTGCAGAGGGGCTCCCCTCAGTGCTCCAAGGTTGGGAGAGGCACGTTGGGATGCCGGAGATGGCCTTGATTGCTCTGGCTACCTTTGCAGGCCACACCAGGGCTGTTTTTTCTCAACTTTTCAGCATGAAAGATGCTTCTGCCTTTTGACTCTCCTGTTCAGAATCTAACATCTACAGTTTAACTTCGTCTTTTGTCCCTTAAGTGCTCCCTATGGCTTCATTCACATAATATCTTGACCTCCTTACTCAAGTCACTCATTTCGAGGGCGAATACAGTTCAGTTACTCATAAAGCCTCATAGCTTGGGTTACTATAACACAGTGGTTCTCAACCTTTTTAATGCCGCGACCCCCAACCAGTCGTAAGTCGAGGACTACTCAACCGGTCGTAAGTCGAGGACTACTCAACTGGTGCAGCACCGTTTGCAGAATGGGACTTTTGGCGGGCTCAGCAGGGCAGAGACAGCCCGGACAATTCCTATTGGCTTTTGAAAGCCAATAGAATTAGACTCTATTCAAGAGAGTCTATTCTATTGGCTTTCAAAAGCCAATAGAATAAAAGGGAGTAGCACAGCTAAGAAAAGGGGGAAAAAATGGCGGACTGCGTTGTTTGGCGACCCCCGTGAAATGGTTGTTCGACCCCAAATGGGGTCCCGACCCACAGGTTGAGAACCACTGTTATAACATATTAGCCCGTGATAAAAACTAAGCAAGGCATTAGATCTTGAGCAGATTCAGTTAGTTAAGGATGTTTTCTGACTATAACTTAGTGATATCATTAGGATGATTACTGTGTATTGTAAATGAAGTTCTTATTTATTTTAATCTTCTGTCTTGCCTTTAAATGGATTATAACCTGCCATAAGATCTGGGTTATAAATATTTAAAATAAGTAGTTGTGTTTCCTTGTTGAGGGGTGGGGGGGGAGGCTAGGATGTAGAGACCTGTATTCTTCTGTTTCTTGATTCCTGCTCTCTGTTCTTGGTTTTGCATCCCCCACCCAATCACTCCTTCCTCTTTCATATGGCTGGGGCTGAGCAACTACTAATAGCGATAGCAGCAGCTGGTTAACACAAAGAGTTGGCTTGCCTGCTATGCATTAGCTGGAAGACCTCCTGTGTCCTCTGGCTTGCCATTCTTTGCTTGTTCAGCACTAAGCTGAGTCCCAGAGTCCCAAGCTAATCTGCCTGAGGCCTGTCTCCTTTCTGTCATCCGGCCGGAAATAAAACAACCACTCTCTCACACCCCTCACTCAGGAGAACGCAGCTCAAGGGAGGACACAGATGGGGGTGGAAAAGCTGAGCAAGTGCTGTGAATGGATAACATTATGTGTCAATGTGCTGGTGATATTCCCGTATTCCAGACTGCTGGTTTGGTGGTTGAAAAGGCACCGAGGATGCCAAAATCGTAGAGTTGTTGATCGATAGACAAGCATCCTGGGCTGCTTGGGCAGAGTTCCATGGAAGTCACATGGATTCAGCTGTGCATCTGTCAATGAGGTTCCAGCAGCCAGACCTGGACTGCTCCGCTGCATTGGAGGGCTGGCGTTCAGAGGAAAAGTTGTTCGGAGAAGGCGGAGAAGGCGTGCATGCAAAGGAAGTTCTGTCCCACTGTGCGATTACAAGACAGCTTCCTCCCTACTGGTAGTTAGATAGCAGAACAGACGCCTGAGTCACAGCAGTGGGTGCAGATCAAGGGGACAGTGCCCCTGTTTGTCACTCCCCTGCCTGTTTGGAGTGAGTGGACATTTGGCAGAGTTCAAAGGGTACTGCAGAGTCTGGGCAGACTCCAGAGCCCCTCTGGAGGCAAGGACCAACATGCCCCTGGTCGCCCTTTAAGTGCCATCAGTGGACAAGTGATAAGAAGGAAACTGTACCAGCCATGCTGGCCACTGTGCTGAAACGCAATCGCCTCCGGATGGCGAGAGCCAAGTAAGTTTCATTTGGCATTTGTACTTTCTGATAAATCTCGTGCGTGGCTGAGTTGTATAAGCAAAAAGGTTTTGTAAGGTTCGGAAATCAGAGTGAATAAACCAGTTTCAGCAGGTTTTTTTTTTAAATTAAAGTAGGATAAAGCATGTCAGCAAAGAGTTGAGGTGTGCAATGACTTTCAGTTCTGTTCTGATCATTTGCTCTGATGCTCCCAGTGCTCTGTTAGATGCTTGGCAGATCAAAGAGGTTTTGCAGTTGATGATGAAGTTTCCAGCCCGCAGCTGAAGGATAGCAAAAGTTCAC